TTTAAGTTATTCAGATAATAGAAAAGTGTTTGGACAACTTTACGAGTGGACTGAATCGATCACAAGTGTCATATTGTGGGTACATCTTTTTATTTGAACGTATAATGCAAGAATTCTTAATGTGATGAATACGCACAACGTATACGAATATAACAAGAAATAATAATGTCGTCAGATGTATGAACTAATTATGTAACTGTAAATTATTATTGGCAACAACATAGTTTTACATACACGTACACACATATTTTATCACATCGGTGGAAAAATTAATACTTATACTACGAAAAAATGAGAGAGATAGATTAAATCTAATTATATGGATTTCCTTCCCTGGTCTTCGTATAATTGAAGGCTATCGCATTACTTACAAATAAACGGTTACACAAATAATCCGTCAAAACAATTGTCAAATAACATGTAAGGGCGATACACTCTTTGTCACTTCATATCGATTAATCTATCTCGAGCTTCTTAAAGCTACCATCCACGCCGAACAAATCGTCCGCCGCTTGGAATTTGCCTACACGCAGAGATTCGTTCACCCGTAAGATCCTTTCGTCCTGTAGAAACCATGGTCGAAATTCCTCCAGTAATTTAATGTTCATGTCAACAAGATCCTTCAAAGGTCCTGCTTTTCCGCCCATTTCGTTCGGCAAAGCCTCGATGGGCAAAAATTCCTCCGCGCTCTTTATATTCGCGTGGAAATGTACCTAAATATAAGAAAATGCAAAAGTTTACTAAGATCTGTTTAAAATAAGTAAATAAAAAGTATATTAACGTGCGAGCAACATGTCGCTGGCTCACAATGTTTAACAAGTTCGCCTTCATAAAAGGTTTAAGCATATTCAGTAATGTTTCCGCCGCAGGTATAGCGTTCAACACGTGGATAACCTTCAATCGAACGGGAGCACCTTCTTCTTGTACGAAGAACAAAATCTTTTTTAGCAGCATCAAATTCATACGGCCAACATGGCCTAAGCTGAAACCCGTCGCGTCAAAGACAATGACCTGCCCGCTGCTGGTGCCCTCCGTTATATTTTGTACTTCGCATGTCATGAATAGATATTTAAGAGTTTCAACGTAGTTATATCGACTCGGATTCGTATCCAGAAGTTTGCCGAAAATCATTATATAATTCTCTTTGGTCCTCTGTTGCAACAGTATGAGTGCTCTGTTAACGGGAGAAATTATTTCGTTGCATTTCGACTGTGATTTTCGATAACGAGCATTTCTCGAGTTATATTTAATAAAATAACTTACACGACGGTGAAAGCCTTACGCAATTCCTTCCATGCGACTGGATCTCTATTGTAGAAAACTTCCGGCATGCGCCACCTTACAGTGAAAAAGTTCTCTATTGTACTTTTGGTTGGCTCTATATGATAGTAGTTGCTATGCAGGAATATAATGAGGTACAATATAGGTATATCCGGCAGATGCGGCTGTTTGTCCATCCAGTCCTTCAACATTTGCAGATCCGACATCTTCAGCTCCGGATTCCGTTTAAATTCTTCTTCCATGCTGACATATCGAATCGGCATTATGTATTCCGTCATTGTTGCAAAATTTAATTTTCTTTTCCTACAATTTCATTTGAAATTGATTTTTGAGCAACAATCATCGATTTAAGGAACAAAACAGAAAACAACACAAATACGAATGAAATGTCATTATTATCAACATGGACGCTCTCTTTATATTTCTGTGAGTCGAAATATCTACCAGCCCATCAACTCCGTTTCGTTGTCCTTTACTGCGTTGGCAACGCTTGTCTAAATTTTTTTGTTGGGAACCACGATTACTTGCGATAATGCAACAACAACAAGTTGATAAGATATAACAAGTGATTATCGAAAGATATAAAATTATGTCTATTGTCTGTACCGTTATCGCGTTATTAATATTTTTCAAAAATTAAGATGGGCTACAAACAAGATAAACACTGATAAGTTTCGTACATACTTGTTTTTATAAAATCCATAAGTCACTGTTACTATACGTTCGTAAAAAATTTTAGTTCTTAAATATTATATAATAATCAATATATAATTTGTAATTGTTATATATATATACACGTTAAATATATATATATATATAAAACTGTTAGTTCCTAGAACTACACGTTCAACGATTTATTTTATCACTATTAGCTGTTCTTCTACAAATGGTTTCGAATAGTACACTTGCTTAATAATTAGTTAGTACAATTTTAAAAAATTGAAGTATTATTCTTGTTTAAAGAGAAAATTAAATAATATATTAATACGTTTTAAATAGTTACTCCCACACGTATGGATTTATTTTGTAACAATTTTAACACATTCAACACAGCACGAAATAATACAACAGTACAATCGTTTAGTTATTGATTTCTAAAGAAGAATATGCGAGCGTTTGAAACGTCGAGCAAGCTCTACTCTGAATACAGCCTAGAAATTGCGCGAGACTTATAATACTTCGAATACGCAATCATCTACGAGTACCTGATTTGAATTTATTGACACATTGCGTGAGTATAATGAATGACGGCAGTAAGAAGTACTTCAATAATTTTTTGTATATTAATTGTTATCTATTTTTTATACTTAGTTTTTCTTTTTTTTTAACATATTTCTTTAATTCTTCCAATACGCTATATTTCTCACGACATTCGATACTTCAAATTGCAAACTACTTTTACAAACAAAATAACATAATTGTGTTTTGTCTAATCTCTCCCCCCTCCCCCCTTCTCGCTCTTTCTCTTCCTCTCGTTTTTCTTCCAATTCCAACCTTTATATATGCTTCTCTTATATATGCAACTTTTATATATGCTTCACTTTATAATATAATATATGCTTTCAATTATATAATATAATTACATAATATAATATATATTTTTAATTCTAACCTTTATATATGACAACATGTTTTGCCTAAACGTTTTCAAGTTTCAATGATCACGTCCTCTATTGTCATTTAGTAGACTTTGAATTGCGACATTCTACAAGTGGCTGCTAAGTGGGCTGCTTACAATAGCATTCGATCAGACATTGTTTAAATTTCTAAAGTCACATTCTACTTTACTTATTTGATACTTTATCTTTTCTAGATAGTTTCTACCATGACTTTATTCCATTGTTAGTCGTGATTCAGAGATTTTCCTTACTTCATTTAGATCCCTTTATATTCATTTATCAAAGTCCTTAGTGTACATTTCGTTTCAATACGATTTGAACATTTTTTTTTCAATCAAGTTTTTAAATGGCATTTAGCTATATAAAGTTGTCAAGTTGTCGTATTAAATTGAGACAGAAACAGCGCGCATCGTGCAAAATCACAGAATAACACGCTTTTTACTCCAGGTGTACGAGTCTAATTTATATTATAAAACAATCGTAGTAATGTGAAATTATGCGTTGCGATAAACACAACTCATCTGTAGGCATTACGTGATCGCAACTTCCAAGTGTATACACCAAAGTTCCAGTGTCGCGTTTTTACAAGTAAAAACAACTGCGATGAAATATTTAAATAAGTCTCATAAACGCGCAACGTACACAAATAACAAGAAATAATAATATTGTCGGAAGTATGAGCTAATTATGTAAATTATAATTAATAACCACATTGTTTTACATACATGCACGCACACATTTTATCATACACGGTAAAATTAATATTTATATAACGAAAAAATGAAAGAGAGAGCGAGGTTAAATCCAATTACACAGCTTTTCTCCTTGGTCTTTGCGTAACTGCGGACTATCGCATTACTTACAAATAATTTGTCATAGAAATAATCTGTTCAAAATATTGTTAAATAACAAGTACGATCCACTCTGTGTCGCTTCATGTCGATTAGTCTAGCTCGAGCTTCTTAAAGCTACCGTCCACGCCGAACAAATCGTCCGCCGCTTTGAATTTGCCGACTCGCAGAGATTCATTCACCTGTGAGATCCTTTCATCCTGTTGAAACCATGGTCGGAATTCCTCCAGTAACTTAATATGATCGTCAACCAGATCCTTTATAGGTCCTGCTTTTCCGCCCATTTCATTCGGCAAAGCCTCGATGGGGAAAAATTCCTCGGCGCTCTTTATATCCGTGTGGAAATGTATCTAAAAATAAGAAAGGGCAAAGGTGTACTCAGATTTGTTCAAAATAAGTAAATAAAAATAAATTAATGCGCGAGTAAAACGTCGTTGACTCACAATGTTTAACAAGTCCGTCTTCACGAGAGGTTTAACCATATTCAGTAATGTTTCCGCAGCAGGTACGGCATTTAACACGTGGATAGCCTTCAATCGAACCGGTGCAGCTTCTTGTATGAAGTACAAAATCTTCTTTAGTAACATCAAATTCATGCGGCCAACATGGCCCAAGCTGAAACCCGTCCCGTCAAAGACAATGATCTGTCCGCTGCTGGTGCCCTCCGTTATATTTTGTACTTCACATGTCATGAATATGTACTTAAGAGCTTCAACGTTGTTATACCGACTCGGATTCGTATCCAGAAATTTGTGGATTGTCACTAAATAACCCTCCTTGGTTCTCTGCTGTAACGGTAGGACTGCTCTGTTAACGGGAGAAATTGTTTCGTTGCATTTTGACTGTGATTTTCGATAACGACCACTTCTCGAATTGAATAATTTAATAAAATAACCTACAGGATGGTAAAGGCTTTACGTAGTTCCTTCCATGCGACTGGATCTCTATTGAAGAAAATTTCCGGCATGCGCGTTCTTATAGTGAAAAAATTCTCTATTGTAGTCTTGGTTGGTTCTATACGATAGTAGTTGCTGTGCAGAAACATAACGAGATAGAATAAAGGTACATTCGGCAGATGCGGCTGTTTGTCCATCCAGTCCTGCAACATTTGCAGATCCGACATCTTCAGCTCCGGATTTCGTTCACGTTCTTCTTCTATACTGACATATCGAATCGGCATTATGTGTTCCGTCATTGTTGCAGAATTTGTTTTCCTACAATTTTATTTGAAATTCACTTCTGAGCAACAGTCACATATGGAGGGACAGAAAAGAGAATGAATCTTTACAAATGAAAAATCATCATTATTAACAAGAACGCTTACCTTGAATCTATATGATTTGAGATAATCGACTTGTACCGTCGTTCTTTACTGTGCGTTGACAACACTTGTCTACTTATCTTTGATGAAAAGCACGATTATTTATAACAGAACGATACAAAAGCAAATTGATAAGATATAATGTGACATCAAAAGATATAGAATTGTCTATCTCTGCCGTTATCATGTCATTAATATATTTCAAAAATTATGATTGGCTATAAACAAGTTAAGCACTGATAATTTTCATATATACTTCGTGCAAAAACACGAAATATCATGTGGATCATGGGTATAGGCTATTTTCCTTCCACCTCATTAAAAATTTGATTACTTCACACTTTGAACATAATATCTGAATTTACCAATATTTTGAATAGAACTGGCTTGCGTATATAATTTATATAAATAATATTCCATTGGCTTTCTGCAAGACCATAAGTATTTTTAAAATTTTGGGACAACACTTTGTGTTAAAAAATAAAATTATTTGTTTGTCGTTTAAGCATTTATTGCTTCGTTATTAATTGTTCCTTCATTGACATCATTAAAACGCTTCTTTACTCCAGATATACGAGATTAATATATGTTACAAACCAACCGTATTAGTAATAGCGTGCGTGAAATTATGCGTTGCGATACCCTTCTGCTGGCACTATGTGATCGTAACTTTCATACGCTAAGGTTCCATTTTGTATTGCTATTTTCTACTGTGCATCAGCAACGCTTATCTATATATATTTTTACCTATATGTTTTTATATCTATATACTTTTGGTGAAATACACGATTAATTGCGATAATGCAACGGTGGCAAGTTGTTAAGTTAGTTGATAAGGTATAACAAGTTTCATTGAAAGATATAGAATATGTCTATCGTTTCTATCATTGTCGCGCTATTAATATTTTTCCAAAATTATGATTAGCTACATATAAGTTAAACATCAATAATTTTCATATATACTTCTACTACTACTACTACTATAACTACGTTCAAAAAATTTTAAGTTCTTAATTTTTACATAATAATCAATATATAATTTTTAATCGTCACACCAGTTATATTAGGTTGAGGAAAAAGAAATCCATTATTTTTACGTGAACTTCAAGACTTTATTTAACATGTTTCGGATTGTCCGATTTGAGTCAAATATGCACCATTTTATTTTATAATTTGTTGCCATTTTAAAGGTAGCTTCATAATGCCTCTCTCATAAAAGTCTTGGTCCCTATTGGCGAGAAACTCTAGTAATCGATTTTCACAATCTTCTCTTGATGCCAATTTCTTATCACTAAGGAAGTTTTGCAATGCAAGAAAAACATGGTAATCGCTTGGTGCCAGACTATATGGTGGATGCATCAAAACTTCCCAACCAAGCTCCCGGAGTTTCTGGTAAGTCACTATAGACATGTGTGGCCTGTCCTGATGGAACACAACACCTCTCCTGTTGGCCAATTCTGGCCGTTTCTGGTCAATCGCTAGCTTCAAACGGTCCAGTTGTTGACAGTAGAGATCCGAATTTAGTGTTTGGCCATATGGAAGCAACTCATAATAAATGATTTCTTTCCAGTCCCACCAAATGCACAGCAGAACCTTCCTGGCCGTTGGTTTGGCCACTGTTTGAGCTGCTTCACCGCGCTTTGACCACGATCGTTTTCGCACAATGTTGTCGACCTATTTCTCATCCCCAGTCACCATCCGTTTAAGAAATGGGTCGATTTCATTTCGTTTGGCCAAGGCTTCGCAGATGGATCCATCATATTTCTTTGTGTTAATTGATGTGGCACCCAAACATCGAGCTTCTTTTTGAATCCAGCTTTGTGCAAATGGTTTAAAACTATTTATGGTCGATCTTTAGCTCCTGGGCGATGCTACGACTGCTAACATGCCGGTCGATTATTTCTGTGATTTTATCGGCATTTTCGACGACGGGCCTATCTGTGCATCTCTAAGATCAAAAATACCTGAACGGAATCGACGAAACCAAAATGGCCGCAACGCAAAACGAAAAGGGGCGCGCAATGAGATAGTCGCGGGAGAACAAAAGTGGCCGCAGCGCGGGACGCAAAAATCGGAACGCTATTTACAGTATGAGCTCGGCTCGCTGGGACGAGGAGCCGGCTCCTTCCCTTCACGCGGGGAAAGATACGAGACGCAAGCCGCACAAAATGTCGCGAGGGCGACGGTCGTGAAAGCGATCGGCGACGAGGAGGCGTCGCGAGGACGACGCGAGGCACAAGGATGTCGCTCGCACTCGCGGACGCTAAGCTATTGCGGAATCGCGAGCGGCGGAACACATACGCGCTGGTTCGTAGTGTCGAAAACGGAACGCACAAGGGTGAACGCACCAGGGACTCACGAGCACGTCCGCTCTGTCCAGAGTCCGAGGAGGTGCGCGCGACGCGCCGGAAAAACCGGGTGGCGCTGCAGCCGGACAGAAGACCGGGCGCGGTTGCAGAACTTGCTTCCTCATACGCGAAGCCGCTCTGGGCGGTGGCGCCGCCGGTGACGGCGGGCGAGGCTCGACTGCCACAATGTTATCATTCTCATCACACGTGAGCCGAGCATGATGCGAGAAACGAGCCGCGATCTCGAAACAATAACACGCGGATTGCGAACTGACAACAAACAAAATAAATATGAAACACGCGTGTCTGATCACGTGTTTGGTTATAAGAACATAATTGTCAATATCAAAAAACATTGCCACATTTGAACATGATCGGAAAGGCTTCGTCCGATCGAAGGTCAATCAATCTATGTTGGTTTCAGAGAGGTTAGACATCTGTCAATAATATTCAGTTTATATCGCTTTGAGTTTCATACAAAACCCCTGTTTTTTACTGTGTTGAATATGTCAAATTTTGTGTTAACTAAGCAGCATTTGCGGGAGGTTTTAGTTTTCTGCTTTAATTGGAAGAAAAGTGCAGCTGAAGCGCATCGAATGCTTGTAGAAGTTTATGGTGACAATGCTCCAACTGATAAATCATGTTGGGAATGACATTTCGAGAATGGTGATTTCAGCGTTGAAGACAAGCCTCGCTCTGGACAGCCAAAAGAATTCGAAAACAAAGAATTGGAGGCATTACTCGATGAAGATCCGCTACAACTTGGCGATTTCATTACGGGCCATCGGTATAGGCTACAATTGATTCGTTTGAGCTGTGCATTATGAGAAAAACGGCCGGAATACGAGCAAAAACATGACAAAGTTATTCTTCTGCATGATAACGCTCGGCCTCATGTCGCAAAAGTTGTAAAAAATTATTTGGAAACGCTCAAGTGGGATATTTTACCACACCCACCGTATTCGCTGGACATTGCTCCTTCTGATTACTGGTTGTTCCGACGGATGCAGCACGATTTGACAGGTCACCGGTTCACTTCTTTCGCACAAAATTGGCTCCTAACTTGGATCGCCCCAAAAGACGAGACATTTTTTCGAGATGGAATTCGAAAATTACCTGAGATGTGGGAAAAATTAATAGCCAGCGATGGACAATACTTTGATTAATCTGTTCATTCATTTTGTTCTGAAATAAATGCATTTTTGACCACAAGAAAACGGACCGAACTAATTTGCACTCCCAATATAAATAATAAAAAAGTAATAATAAAATTACTGAGCAGCAACAGTTACTTATCACTGACCAATTTATCACAGGCAGTAATACTTTTTTGTAAGGGGAGGATAATATTAATGTTCTTGAATGGTCTCCTCAATCCAGGCCTAAATATAGTATATAAATAATCTTATAGAACACTTATGAGATGAATTGGACCATAGAGTGCTGAAATCGAAACGAGAGAACCTTAAAGTGTATAAAGCTGCATTTTTCGAAGAGTGGATTAAAATCGAGCCTGATATTTTAGTAATACCGGTTGATTCCATGCCACAGCGCCTGGAAGCCATAATAAAAGCAAAGGGAGGTCCAACACGCTACTAATTACGTTACAAATAATTTTTAAACATTATTTCATGCTGACTTATTTATGAAAAATGATCAAATAATACATTCCAGTTAAAATAAGTAAAAGTACAATTTTTTTGTTAATGTAAAATGTATTATTTATCTCTATTCTATGTTATGTTTAAAATATATATTACATTATATCATGCATCAGTTAAATTAAATAAATTTTAAATTTTAATAAAATTTTAATAGTAAACATTAATTTTTTATTCTTACTATAGATTAATCGCCCATTTTAAATCTATCATTAAAACCTCTTTTCCTTAAGTTTCATTTTACTATAAAATATTATAAATATTTTTCGTATATTGTTGGCATGTAAAAATAAAATTATATCGACGCAAGAATTAGACATATACGAATGTATCGAGCGTGCCGATCTGTGCGTATATCAATGAACAATTATTCCTTCTTACAAAATTGATAAAATATCACCAGAATTTACGAATAACCCCCATAGTATTGTAGAAAATATACAGCGATTATTTTCCTTTCCACCGAACTTTAAATGATTTATTGTCTTCGATTTCATATGAGATTCCGCGATTGTACATTTAAGAATCTATTGGAGGAAAAATTTATAAAACATTAACTATGACAATAATTTTGAAGATTCATTGATAATGAAAAGGAGAATGCCATTATATTATCTCGTATAATCCATACCAAAGTTGAAAAAAACTTTATCTTTTATCGTCGACAAAAAGTCGCCGCCTCTTTTGCGACATATCACGCATGCTTTCAACGGATTTCTCGAAACACAAAAGTTGGACTGCACGGTCGTAAATATTTCAATAACCAGAACAAGCATGACGTACCACATGGATGTATTAATATCTTGTTGACGTACTCCGCTGGACAAAGAAGCGAGTTAATAAATTATAATCGCGAGAACGCACAAAAAGTGTACTGCTTCTCCTTAAATGATCCATCGCTTTCGATATTTCGTGTTTTCTCCCTTTTGGTGCCGCACATTTTGTAAATAAAAGGTTGCAACCACGCACATGGCAAATTTTTTACGTGGTACGAAACATATTAGAAGCCGCGGGAAACTTCTGTAGCGACAGCTGTAATTTACTGACATCTTTCAGCTCATTGAAGGGTTCGACCACTGAAAAAAGGAATTATGGTTGAGCGAGCACTGTAAGGCCATATTATTGATGACTCTTTAGTCGCAGGATCATTTTCAGCGGGCAGTCAAACATAGCCGCGCAAGGGACAAGACATGGACAACTGTGCCAATGACAGTTTGGTGATGATATGTCTGTAACTTGGACAGTGAATATAAAACAGACGCACTTTAAGTAAATGTAATACATTGAGTAAAGTGCTTTAGGCAGGAGAGATATTTTCTCGCGTAAAATGACGATGTTACAATGATTTCTTCTGTCTGCTCGCAAAGTGAAATGTGAAGTTTGAGTGAAAACCGAATTATAAGGTGTCGACTATTTAACATTTACACATTTTTATCGCATATGCGCTTATATATGTCCACTTCACGTGCGTGTATTTACATTTACGATCCGTGTATGTAATTCACTCGCATCGAGAGAGCAAGAGAAAAGCGATAAAAGTTTTTCTTTATCCTATTTGCACGTAGGCGACTCTCTCAATACCGTTATGCACGGAAAATAGAGAATGCCGGAGCGGGCTGGAGCGAACCGTCTTTCTGTCTGTGTGTATGTATCTTTCAACGGCGCCAGGAATCTCGCTCGTTGCGTGTATTTCTTTCGCGTACATCGTAAATCACACGGCGATCATCACGCGTTATATAGTGGCTACTAGTTATCGTGCAACAGCAAAATCAATTAAGAGACGTGTAGTAACTACGAAAACGCAGGCGAGAGGAGTACGCTGGCATGATTTACAATGTAGAGCGAGATCCGACAATTAATTACGCAATGATCATCTCGCGCCCGCGCGCACGTTCTACGGAGTGCCGTCGACGGTTGCGCCTGTCGAGCAAAAATGGGCGCAGCAGATATATCAGTTGTCTGTAAAAATCAATTAATAATCTTATATTAACTAGAAATAGAGACGCGCGGAGGTAGATGGAAGGGGGAGAAAAATATTTACTCGAGTCTTACACAATATATAATAATCTAATAATAAATTATAAATACGTGTGAATGCATGTTACAACTATAAATACAAAAGATGACGAATGCGGAAATGAGGAAGTTCATCTAACGCGTACGTTTTCGCTCGAAATTACCGTTCTTCTCTTCCGACACCGAGGATTCAAGGGCGATCATCCGACCTGTCGTCGCGGGAGAAGCGAAGAAACAGAAGCCCGGCTCTTTCTTCTACCTTGATTACGCGGGAATGGTCTCGTTACGTCGGTGTGTCGTGATCCACGTGCCGCTACGTGGAAACGCGTGACGATCATCCGCGACAAATACCCGATCTTGTGATCCCGCATTCGCACGGAATCGCATTCGCATGGAATGCAATTCCGAGCGTTGCGATCGCGTCGCAACTTTCGGCGGCCGCACCGCGCAGCGCATCTCATCACCGTGAGATGAGGAGCAGGTGAGAAGTAGCGAGTCCGAGGACGCGCGAGGGGGATCCCGCAAAGCGACTAACGGTACATCACGCTCATCGGAATTCACGGTGCGTTCTATTCTCGACGTATCTACGGGCCGAACGTACGTAAGTCCGTCCCGATGCAGGTTTGTTACGAGGTCCGGTTTCTGTGAAGCGCGCAAGCAGGGCAGTGGCGTATCGCAGGGAAGCCTCGCGTGTAACATAAGCGGGACAGGAAACGCGCGTCTGCCTTTGCCCCCGTCGTCCTGGTGATCTTGACCCTTTCTTTCTCTCTCTCTCTCTCTCTATCTCTCCTTCTCTGGGTTAATAGCAGGCTGAAGCTGAAGTCGTGGCGACGGCGGGGACGACGATGCTGATAATATACGAGACAAACGGAAGATGCTCATCGCCGGTATTGCGAACGTTACTGCCACGGGCAGCGCAAAAGACGCCGTAAAGAAATCTTCTAGACATCTTAATCCTTCAGACACTTTCGGAGCGTCTCTCGGACTCTCGCGTTGTTCACACCACGATTCCCAGATAGAAATTTAAAATAGCCGCTCGAAAGGCTCCATACAATTTGTCTTCATTTCTATCTAAACCTTATATAGAAATAAGTAACGTTCGTTAACAATTTAGAGCCGATTTTGTAAATCTATCCAAGTTCTAACCGGGCCCTATAAGTCACAGGCTTTGTTAAGAGTACCCCACGTCAATGCTTACTCACAGTCTATTCACGAAATTATTAAGGTTTTGTTTTTCCAAAATACATCTAAGTCTAACAAGGGTCGGCCTATTTTGGAGCATGCCTGTCTATTGCAGACTTGAAGCACACTAGAATTAATCTCTATCCAGGATGCTGACGAGGAAGCGTGTCGCGTTCATCCCGCTTCCCGAGTAAAATCTCGTCGCAGCTCCGTTTTTTCGCATACACCCGTTTCTACGGGACACATGACGCGAATTTCGATTCTGTCAATATATATCATGGAACGGCGGGGGAAAAATTTGTCCGACCGCTGTCCGTCGGACGATAGGACGATTTTCAAGTAATTACACCGTAAAGATAAGTTAATGCGACGATCGCTTGTTCGAATAAGTCGCCGGTGATCTGCCGCGTCCGCGATTCTGCAGGATTCCGCGTTTATCTTATTGCAATATGTAATAGCGCGCGCACGCGCATGATATAACTTTATGACAATGATAGCGCTCGAGGGAGCGCTCGTGGACGATCCTGCCGGTGGACACGAAGTTTCACCTGAGGCATTATTGCACCTGCACGAAACCGGCTCGGGGCGAGTCTAGCGAACTCGATCGAATTCCGAGACCGGATTCCGCGATACGGCCGCAATCACTGCCCCGATTTGCTTTTTCATGCCGGCGGAATATGTCCCGCCGGAGCTTTTGGCACGAGAAAGAAAGAGGGCAAGGAGAAGATGCTCGGAGAGAGACGCTCAAGCCGTGTTTGCGCTTTTTCACGTTTACCGGAGCTGCTTAGCAAAATGCAGAAACGGATGCACCGCGGCATTCGAATGTCGCCGGTTTGTTTGCGGAAATGAATCGATAAGTCGTTACAATCGAGGAATTCGGAGCGAGAGCGGGCTAGCTCTGTGGGATTTGTAGAATTCGCTTCGAACGCAAAGTTGTGCGCTTCAAACGGGCCGCAAAGGCAAATTGAGATTCTAGTTATAATCATAAGAAGAAGAAAAAAAATAAAGAATATAGCCCGAAAAGAGTAAATACGGCTCGAGTAGGATAAACAGACAGACTGATTCGACTCTCACTCATCGGGTGTCCCAGTCCGGAAGCACTCAGAGAGTACTCTTCGCGTCGCGTGCACCGATGGTCCCGAGAACACTGGCGTTGGAAATATGACGCTCTCTACCTGGATGGAAGGACGCCCGAGTAAGCACACGGTTTCGCAATGTGAGTCCTTTCGTCCCGTGCGGGGAGAGAACGAAAGACAAGATCCGAGATATCGAGACGCTCCCGTGATCTCGCACGATCCCCGCGCGATCTAGTTAAAAGCTCGGAACGGTCGGCGGGTCGGCGGACGCACTCGCCGAATTTCTCGGCTTGCAGACGCAACCGCTCTCCACCAGCACGTAATCCTGGCCGGTCAAGGTCACTGGACCGAGAGGAATCACCAGAAACAGGTATGGTACGTAGGTCTGCGTGCACTCACCGTGAACTACGTCGCATTCCTTCGATCTGAAAACAACGATCGATGATTCCGCCGGGTTCGTTCACCAGAGCAGAGAGAGAGCTGTTTATAAGCTCGCGTCAACGATTCGCCGGTAACTAAATACGCAAGAAAGAATAGACATAATTTCACGTGAAATACGATATCGCTCGGTCGGAAAATTCGCGAAAAGTTCGCGCGCACGTTCTCCGTGTAAAAATTCTCCTCCGAGTGAAAATCCTGCCTCGAATACATCGCGCGAATCGCGCCAATCTCGTTGTCCGGTAGCTTCACGCGCGACACAAGGCTGCGGGAATTGTCTGGGATTGGATTTCGTTTGAAAAAAGGTCTGAGAAGTAGGCGTATGTCGATCACGAACACACAGTGGTAAACCAGTTCGCCCTACTGCGCCACATTCGAATTAATTCAGCGAGCAGACTCGGCTTCGGGCGAATTTCAATCGGAGTGCGGCCGATATCCCGCTGCTCTTATAAATCACCGGCCGAAATTTCGCGCGATATGTCGTGTCGATAAATACCGACCGCTCGTGAATATCATTTGCATAAATTAACCGTAGAAAACGTGTTGTGCGTCTAACGAGGCGTGTAGAATGGATGCCTCGAAATCGTCGGATATCACGTGGACACGGAGTTAAATTTGGAAACGACTTTTTGCTTCACCGAATTCTCAAACCTACGAAGGCAGATCTTCGCGCTGATAACCGGAAGGTTCGCGTTTTTCAATCCGGCAACCGGACAACGACGGCTTGCTCTTCGGCTAATTTTAGAGCGATTTTGACTCGCGGCGAAATTTCTATCGGTATTCGCGGAGAGAAATTTAAATGAAAAGTTTCACAGAACAAAGGCAAAGTCAGATCGGATCCATCCATTTGGTTCCAGATTCATCCGTGATACTCACTCGCAAACCTCGAAGACCACTTGCTGCAGGAGATCGGGGAACTTCTGAACGATTGTTACCGGTTGCCCGCTGGTGAGACTGATGCCGTACATAGGCGCTGTGGTGTTGTACCTCGTTTTGCAGAGCCGGGCAGGTGAGCCGCAACTTTCTTTCGCGGAAAACCCACGGCCTGAAAACCCAGTGACGATCATCTCCTCCGGACAATTTTCGTCAGAGAGCGCGAAATGCGACGATGACGCATCATTAACAATATGTAATCCCCGGATATGTAATCCCCGTGGGACGCACTGTCGGCCAGCCACTGTATCATACTTATCATAGTTATACTTAGCATAAAACGTTATCGACGAGCAGTGAAACGTTACACATAATACAGAGAGCACGATAGTCCCGTAATAGTACGGGATTCACGTGAGCTCTCCTCTCTCGGAATATCACAAGATTAAAGTCTCGTCGCGGCCTCCTAAGCGTACGATTCATTACCCAGCGCGGTATCCCATTTCTCTCCGCGGGAGCCGAGGAACTCGATCGACTTCAACGGGAATAGCTCACTGGCACCGAGACAACTGCGACAAACAGACGACCCCGCTGCTTCCTCGCACGCCGGGTCGGAATTCGCTCTCGGAATCAACGGCCTTCGTCGGATATCCCGCGACAAGCCACGTACGCTCGAAACGAAACGACGAGTGGGTCGCCGGCGAGTCCCGTTATGAGGCACAACGAGCGATAACTGTATTGGCCGGATAACACGGTGCCTTATTACCGTGCCGCCACGGACCGACCATTATCGGGAGGATCGACCGCCTCGGAAAACTCTCCGGTCGCGCGAATTTCGCAGAAACCCAGTCGCGACCGGTCGGAAACGTAAGCGGGTTTTCGTGTCATAAGGACAGCTGCATAACTCAAGGCTGCAGGGCGAGCAGGCAGCCGCGATCGTAAACGGGTATATACGCCTGCCGGTACTTCGTGCCGGACGACCGGCCGTTCCAATTTTCGTGGGCCTTCTCGGAGCTTCCATCCGCGCGGTCGGGCGCGCCGCGCGAATTTTTTCGAGGCCTTCGCCCGCGTGGGAACAGGGTCGTTTTATGGAAATCACGGATACCGAAATGAGAGAGGGAGCGAGCGAGCGAGCAAACGATCGTACTTGCGATTCGCCTAGCCGGGACGAAACGTCTTCGGATGAACGATCGCGCTTGCAAAATTTTGCGCTCGATCGGTCGCCCGACGGGAACTCGCAGCTCGACGACTTCCGACGTCTTCGGAAGCCGACTTTCTATGTGTGTTAAGTTAAATCAAGAGAAGCGATCGATCTAATCGCCCGACGGTGATTCCGATAGTATACCTGGCTAAACATACAATTAAGATAAACTTCTTCGACAAGGATCGCGGCGGGAAATAAGAGGAAACAAACGCTGCACGCGTAGATATAGAATCGGTTAACGTGAGGTTAACGAGATTGGCAAACAACTTCCAGTTACTTCCATGTATCGTGACTTAATCCCCCATCGCAGCGGCTTTTAATCGAAGAGGAGGACGAGAAGTAATAATAATCCGAGCGCGATTCGAACGAGCGAGCGAGCGACCGGCGGTCCGCGATAAATCGACCCGCGATTAACTCTCTTTTGCGCTTTGCTCCGGCAGCAGGAAGTGCGACGTAAGCTCACCGTTCCGGGAGTTTCCGGCGATAGAGTAGTCTCCATGGGCCGCTTTGTAGTTGTGCAGAAGCGCCTGCCTCGTCAGTTCAGGATCAATCGTCCGTGGCTGATGCGATCGCGCGGTTCGACTACTGCCCGCCCAAAGATTCTTGAAGCTCCTCGATATCGCGGCTCTGCAAGAACGGTACACTTCATCCGTTCTTCTCTCTCTTTCTCTCCTTCTCACTGTCCGGCTGTTAGATCTTTTCCTCTTACGGCCTCACTACGGTCGACCGTTTCAGCGCGCAACCTGACTTTCAAAATAAAGTTCGACGTTCCCGGCAAACGCGCACACTCGGTTCATCCTGGAAACGCTTCCAGCCCGGACGAACAGAGCGGGACGGGAAAACGCGCGAACAAGAAATCTAACTGTACATCCAGGCACCTCGAGTGATAACAGTTCGGTTTTTGCGTGAAGATATCAATAACGATGGCGGATTCACGGTAAGTCGATTTATGTGGCCGCTCAGAATCTCGGCTACTAAAGTTGTTTACATTCCCAACAGACTCCGCAATTATAGGATTATTCGCCGATTATTATTGAGGCAATATTTCATCAAGATTGCAAAAAGTAGTCAGATTGCGAACGAAGATAATCTGTCGGTTAGTATAGATTGTAGGACGGCAAAACTATCCAATAGACCGTTTAACACTTAGGCTACCCAGCTAGTTTCGAGCGTAAAGCCGGAGCTTAAGTCGCAACACTGTGCGTATATAGTCTCTATAGTCAAAATATACGAAACATGCCACATGTCCAATAAAAGGACGATGATATCTACTTTTACCCTCCTACACGTATCCTATATATCTCATATATTATCCAATGTAAGTACTCTTAATATATTGATATAATAACCATACATAATGACCAGCATATATAATGACTATATACAGGGTGTCTGACGCAAGCTGTGCCATTCGTCACATATTTATAGTTTAGGTCAATGTGAAGAAAAAATCCTTTACTATTTTGCAAATAATACATTAATGCAAATAATAACTTTTTTTAATTAACAACTCAAAAATTTGTGCGTTACTTGCAAAATGGTAAAGAAGTTTTTAGTTCAGATTGGCTTAATCTACAAGTATATAACAGTTGTACTTAACAATAAACATCAGTATATTGAACACCCTATATAATAGCCACATAATTTGACTATATATAATAACTGTATATATAATGACTAAATATAATAATCACAATTGTGTATGGATTGCTTTCCAAAGTATCACGGAAAATATATATAATGTTGATTTTATTTTTGACGATAATATATATTGTAAAAATTATATTTATTATTTTCATTCAGTATTTTTATGAATAGTTCATAAAATTATTACTATTTCAGTTGTTAAAACCGTCACCTATCTATGGGTGACAGGACAGTCCTAAAATGTTGTCCAAATGTTAAATATCTTCGCGAACTTGCGTCACTTACGAGGGGTACTGCATGTTATTAGGACCTATGCAATCGTCAGGATCGGTGAGCGCGTCGCCCCAAACGTATTTCAGACCTAGGCCGTTACCCTCGCATTTCTTGGCTCCGTATACTTGCGTGAACGCCGTGACAATGAGTATCAGATCGAGATACCTGGACATCTGAAATCAAAGAGAACGTGATCGCACCGAGACTCGTCATCTGAGACTTTCTCCCGAGATGTAATTTATGCTGACGAACAAACCATATCATTTCTCATTAGCTATCTGGATTATGTCTAAAGTGATAGTTCAGCGTAGATGCTCCGTGCGCTAGATATCACGCGCCGATATCGTGGCATCATTTGCAGCGTGACCGCCAACGTAACGTAACGTAATGTAATGTAACGCCACATTAGATTAAGTGATAGTCGCGAGGAAGTTGCGCTGCCAACGAAATTCCGCCCCGGCGGAGTATTATTTTTCTTGTTAATAAGGACTGATATCTCGGCAATAAACTCGCGCTGCGTCAGCATGCGTAGGCAGGATAAGTACGCGCGAGCGACGGAAGAACGCATGAGTGAGCGGTCTTGGAACTCGAGTTCGCAAGAGGTCAAGAGCAAGAGTAAATGACACACGTACACGTGAGCCCTCTCGTACTTCGCTTCGAAGGAAATTCCACGCGGCCACTTCCTCGATCCGCGAAGTCGCGAGCGTGGTGGTCGTTACTTTTCGAAAATCGCCAATCTAGCCGGAACGGCTGTACGCGTGGAAATATTGGGCAAAAGAATGAGTAGGCAATCTTATAACGATTTATGTAATCGATACGCGAATGCGCAGATGATTCCAGCTCGCCTCCTGATCGCATTTTCTCTCACTTAACGCGCTACATCGTTCGATATCTAATTAATCCTTTTACGGTACGAGCACCGTACCGAGTAGCGACTCGAGCAATTTAATGTAACGGATGATCGTCGGTACGTGGGAAATCACCGGTTCTCGTGAGGTTCTCGCCATCATTTCGCTCTCGGGATCCTCAGTCGAAAGGATTTCCATTTCGCGAGTGAAGTTCACCGTGAAAAAATCGCACGTGACAAGACTCGGGAGGGGAAAAGTTCCTCCTTTTTCGCTTTCGCGGTATCTTCTACGTATGTAGGAGTGCAATCGTGATCGCGGAAATTGTAGCGTGTATAGACGTAAAAAAAGAAAAAGAAAAGGAAGAAAAAGAAGAAGAGAGAGAAAGCGTTACTTATTCCGCGCTCCGGAATAAAATTTCTTTAAGCGCTTAGTAACATAAAGTACGATGTCAATGACATTCTAATCAACTACATGGACCAACTAAGTTTAATAACATACATGTTATTAAACACAGAGAAAGAAAAAATTTAAGATGCCTAAGCGTACTATAGACTATGTCATACCTAGAATTCCATACGAAACATATTATAAATAATCAAAAAGAAGGGAGAAGGAGAGAGAAGAAAAATGTGCGAGCGCGACGGGGCGAAAATGCGGATTAAAAGTAACAAATCGCCTGTATACAATAGGACGCGTGACTTCCTCGAGTTTGGGGTTCCGCAGTTCGGGGTTTGTAGGTTGCTGAGACCACCGCGAAATCCGTTATACGCGCTTATGCGCTCGGTACACTATCCGACAACGAGTGAAAGCGATCCAAAAGAAGCTCGTCGATCGCGCGCGACGTCGCGCGCATTGACGATCGCGATTTTCACGTATACCAGCGCCCGCGTTTACCGCGCGGAATAATAAGCGCGGAATCGCTTTCCAAGCGCAAGTCTGATGCACGAGTCCTCGGTCTGGCGAGGCTCAATTAACCCTGGCACGATTCAGACCGGCGCGCGCCGCATCTCACGGATCCCTCCTCTCCTTCGGCAGAAAAATCATTCGATCATCTCGAGAATTATTTCGACGCTTCCCAAAGCTAGAGATAATTGCGTTGCTCCAGCTGCTACTCGAGAGGACCTCAAGAGAGAGAGAGAGAGAGATATTCTCGCGTTTCAGACGACGACTTTTGACGGATGTTTGACGCACAGGCGCGCATTGAATAATCCGTGCGATCCACGGTCAACGGGCGAGCAAGGAAATCATTAACGGATACCGTCCAAGGTTGGTCAATGGCCGTGACCGCCGAGATTCCGCGCAGCGTACCTGTTACCTCGATGGATCCTTGATCCCGGCATTGTAATCCTCGATCTCTCCCTCTCTCTCTCTCTTTCTCGTCTACCGCGTCCGCGCGTAATCGTTATGATTTATAAATCCTTCCGATTGCTGTCTCCCATTAACAATATCGAGAGAAAATTGGAACGATGATCGACAGACCGTTACGGAAACACGCGCGCGGCTCGGTCACGTCGAAGAGAGAAGTATTTAAGATGTATAGCGCGAAGCCGAAGTCGGGAAGGATGATTGCCGGCGCAGCACCGGCTGCGCGTGGTAGACGTAATAAATTCGCAACGGCCGGAGGTCGATTACTCTCGTTACTCTCGGCCGTCCAAGTTGTCTCGTCTCGTCTCACGACCGTGCGAGCCCGACGATCCCGACGATCACTTTTCGCCGCCTCATCGACATTAGCGTCTCGGCGAAGCGAGCAAACAACCTTCGTCCCGCGCCTGTTTTTTCTCCTTTTTCCTCATGGCATCACAGAAGGAGCGTGTAATTGGCGCTCGATTAACGCGGCGGCGATTAATCGAACTCCCCGGAGAGATTTCTCACAGCGATCGATTTAGATCGAGCGAGCGCTGGGAGAGCAGACACAATCTCGATCGCTTCTTCCGCACCGACACACACGTCCCGCTGTATGTAACGTTACTCCGACGTTGCGACCTTGCGGGTAATTAACAGCGTTCTCACGCCGGCGCGCGCACTCGGATCCGCGATGCGGATCGCCCCGATCGCTTCTTACGGTCTCTGTCCTGGATTTTCGCACGGCGGAGTCGCTACGCGGGAGATGCGGCGCGCATATTTACGATTCGCACCTGGCTCGAATTGGCGATTCGGCCGAGTGATCGCCCGAAGAATCCGCGGCGTTGCCGGGGCCGATGAAGCGCGAAGCGGCGCCGGTGGTCTGAGCCGGCCGCGTAAAAGCAGACGGGGTTGACAAGTCGTCAAAGAGAGAAAGAGATGAAGGCGGCGAACGTCGCGAAATGATCCGAAAGACAGACGATCGTCGAAGAGGAAGAGAAGCGACCGGTGAACGTGGGAATCGTTTGAACTTGGGAGCACGCAATCGAGATCTCCGCTGCTACTGGTTTTGCGCTGCTCGGCGATTTCGGATAGACACGCTTATGCCGGCCAGTGATTTCTCACGTCGTTCTGTAATCTTCTTTCGTAATCTTCTCGATACCTATGTGTGTAAGGATGTTTTGATATTATCGATATAATACTAGTGTCGGTATTTGTCTTTTAATATCGAGTATTTTTGCATCGTTATTTTCTTTCGATATTCGCATCCATATCGGTACACATTGATCTCGATATCTTCTTTTTTATTTCCTACTTAATCGTTCAAGTCAGTCTTCAAGATATCATGTATTTTTACTTTATAAAAATTAGTATAATAATAACACATTCTGTTGCATTAATTTTATTAAGGTTATTTATTGATTGCTGAGGTAGAAAGAAAGCATCCAGACATTTTTACAAATGTACGGAGTCGATTATTTTGCGCGTATACTGTTTTATTTCCACATATACCGCAATAATTTTTGGCAAGCGATCTCACTTTTGGCGTCATCAAAACGAGAACAGTTATAGCGAGGATACGGGAACCTTAATATATTCTTTTTAAACTTTTTAGATTACAAACTGTAGAAAGTCTAGAAAGGCAGAAGTATCTTTATACCATAGTAAGATTATTACGCGTGGACGTATGAAATCCTTTACCCAGACAGCAATGCCCAAATTGGGACAAAATTGGGATAAGATGACTTTAAGACGTTTTAAAGACGTCTATAAGTAAATCCCTATCTACAATAGATGTTTTAATCTTTAAACCTTAAGAAATTGACCAATCACTGTTGAATATGAGAAGAGTAATTGACAATGATTAGTCAATTTCTTAAAGCTTAAGGCATCCATTGTAGAATGCTTATAAAACGTCTTTGAAATGCCTTTAATATGTTTTATGCCCTAATTTTGGATATTGTGCTGTCTGGATATAAAACCTAGATAACACAGTTAGTTTTATATACGTTCTTTGAATACATATATAATACGATTATGAAATATTACATACGTTTAAAGAACATGTATGAAACTAAATATGTGTTACTTGGAAAATGGCTTGCAAGATAAACACTTCGCTGACTTTTATATTTTCTCTAATTTTAAGTTTTGTAAAGTTTCGACAGTACAAGGTTCTCCATTGAGAGGTTTCATTTTAAATTATTAGAAAAACGAAGCTTTTTTTTTTGAGAAAGCGGTGATATTTTTATTCTAATGCAAAGTATAGACTGTACAATTAAGTCCACATCCACATAGTGCAAAAACTAACGTTAACATTGTTGCAATGTTGCAGCACTGTTATGTTAAGTTTCTGTATCATATAAGCAGTGATACTAATATCGGAATAAAAATATCGATACTGATACTATTGGGTTTTCCACTAAGAGGTTTCATTTTAAATTTCATGCCATTTTTAAACCTATTAAAGATAAAACTGTCATTCCTTAACAGCTGACGAGTAAAAAGTATACGGTTAACGAGAATAGAACGATGTATTCTTCAGCAACGTATAGAAATTGTGAAAATTCACTAAAAAAATGGTGAAAATTTCGCGAAGACGGTTCGTAAAGCTCGTACTGCTTTCGATCGTAATGAAGCACCTTCTCGTCTAGCAATTATTAACCTAATCAAGAAATTTGATCGTTTGGGTCAAGTTAGTGATGTAAAGACCCCAATCCGTGCTCGACCAGCCAGATCAACCGGAAACATCGCTGCTGTGGCTGTAAGTGTCGCAGAAAATCCAGGTTTGTCCATTCCGAGACGTTCGCAGCAATTGGGCATATCGTAAACCAGCCTGCACCATATTTTGCGTGATGTTGGGCGATATTTTCATGATGTCACAACATCCCTATGTATATGTGTACGCGCATGCGTACACTATTCGAATTAAAATTACCTTCCTCCGCCTTCCTCTTCGTCGACTTATCCAAGGTATCGTGTAACATATTCTGCAAAATTTGTTCTTTCAGCTATCGCGCTTCAACATTCGACGCGGATGAAAGAGGGACCGAAGAAACGCGACATTTTTGTCCAGCTTTCGCAGGAACGGAAGACTTTGCCGGTCCAGATCCACGCGATGCGTCACCAGCTCTAACGGTAACGCCGGGGCATCCAAAACGCCGCTTCCTCTCTCGCATAAGATTCGAATGTTATCGAGCGTGCGTTTACTCATCCTCGTACTCTCGATAACGGTACACGCGCGTTTCGGTGGTTCATTTCATGAATAAATTTCTGTATAACTGTTGCGGTGACGTGAGATTGAAATTTCTCCTCTCAGTCTAGCGCGGTAGCCGGTATCGCAACGTCGAGTGTACAAATTAAGTCAGCAAATTCTTAATTGTTTAATTCAACTCGCGAAGTCGTGAATTAAAAATCACGACCCACAGTTGCGGGAGATTGATTTTTCCGTCGCGATCGCGCGTCGTACGTAGCGAGGGAAGAACTCCCGACGACGGCGTCGTTTCTTTCGCGGAAAGAGCTTCGGCAAGCGAAATGGAATCGTAATTGCGCGGCCGTATACCGCGAGAAAAGCCCGAAGTCCGCCCCTTCGGGCGGTTTACCTAAATGTTATGCATTCGGACAATAAACGTCCCGAAGTAGCCGAAACCTTTTTGAGTACTCGAACTCGGCTGCGCGGTCGTCCTCTCTCTCTCTCTCTCTCACGTCCCTCCGTCTTTGCCTACCTTTACAAAAACGGGGATCTCAAATTTCTCGACCACGAGGGTTAATCTTGTCACTATATATGCCCGCATTCATGTGACACAGCACGCGCTCGCACAAACGAAAGCACAAGCCGCCGGCAGGTCGTTTTCCTTCGTCACACGAACGAGATCTCATTCGACCGGAATTCGAGATTCCCGCGGGAATCGCTCAACGACGATGTCACGGCTTCAAAAACGCTCGATCCAGTGTCTTACTCACCGTGAGGGACATTTGTTTCAGCGTATTAAGAGTCCTTCCTCGGCCCGCACCGGCGAACTCTACGTTACATTAATCGACCAGGCCCGTCCTCGAGAGACCGGATGATAGAGAAAAAAAAATAGGGATACTAGAAGTAGGGCACACAAGTCTCTGTCTCAAACACCGTTCATGTCACTGCACCGGATGTCGTGGGGTCGAACACCTCCGTCCTCGCAGGTGGATGTCCAGAGGTTGACTGTAGAATCGTAAGTAACCGCTCTCTGTGCTTGGGCAGCGAGCCGGGGCGAAAGAGGGGATCCTCTGGCCGGGAATACTGGTCCCTATTCTGCCTCTAAACCTTTTTCCGCCTACTGAAGAGAGAAGATCGTTGCAAAGGAGGGTAGCCTCTCCGCCGCAGCTCCTTTTTTTCAGTGCGTCGTGAAGATCGAACGACGCAGCGTCCGAAGAATAAACAGGCCGGGATAGAATCCGAGATGAAAGAAGCATTGTTCATATTACGGCATAAAAGCAACTAGTAATTCTTGATCGATCGGAAACTTGGTCCTTTTTGTCAGAATTTTCGCTACCGGTGTTTACTACTTATTATTATTAACGTTTGTAAAAGTACAGTTTTCGTACGGTTGGTAAAAAAAGAAATGTTGAAGTTATTACTCACACTTTTTTCTCTCTCTCGCTTTTGTTACATATAAAGTTTCTGATGTTTACACTGTTTTTTTTATACAACTATTACACTAACTGTAATACAATATTCTATTGTTTAAGGAATTATCTTTGTATCGTGTTAAAGCCCGTGAATAATTAATTAATCGAATATTGATTATAGTGAGATATTGCAATCTAATAAGATCCACAAAAATCTTCGTGCGTTTTAAATCTTAGAATCTTGACAAATCAAAAATTGTTATTTATAAATTGATTATAAATTGATTATAAATTCACCAAACTGCAAAAGATAGATAAATAAACATAAAATAATCCGATGTCATTTTAATCAATTGGAAAGTCATCGAGAATTATTTGCTAACATTTCCGATAGGAACGATAGGTTTCTTTCACATCAGTCGTTAATGATAGGTTATTGAAACTGTATTTCCAATTGGAAAATGGTAGAAACGTTCCATGATTATTTCCAATTAATTATTTTAATATTGATACGAATAAAACAAATGAATACACTTAATCATTTGTGAGTCAAATTGATATTTTAAACCATTATTATAGAAAATAAGTGTTAAATCTAAGGGCCTGTAGCCATCGAATTTCTCAGAAACGATAGACACCTTGGTTGCATTGAATACTTTACTACAGCTTTTTTTTTTTCAATTTGTTATAATATATTGAATTGTTCGATAAGTTCGTGCGAAGGTCGATACATTTATAGTTGGGCGAAATAACTTATTCAATAATGTATTAACCATTTCTTTTTTTTAGCAGGTTATCGAAAAGAAAAAAGTCAAGCCGTGCCTGATCATAAGGGTATCGGTTTTAAGCTTTTCATAAAAATTCTCACGGACTTATCGAATCCAATAAAATGCACACATGTAATCTCAGTAATACAGCTTCTGTAAGCTCCTCTCTCTTTATAAAAATCAACATATCGTCATGTGATATATTGCGAATAAAATTACATAGCAGACATCACAGAGATCGTGAACAATTACTGTAAGGAGAATACATATTTTTATCAAATATACATACTGTTCGGCAATAGTGTAATCGATTATGTCATTTCTTTAAAGAGTTCTTGGGAGCAAACTTCTTACAGAATATTCCAGTATAAATGTTTGCATCATAAAGTAGTATTTTAACTTATCATCTTAATGACGTAAATGGTACCAAAAAAAATCAATGTTACATGTAGGTGTATTTGTTTAATCCTCGAATTTAATGGAATTAACACTAGTATCTATTTGTCCGCCATGATAGCTACCACGCTTCTTCTTGGTCTTCTCATGCCGAAACGACTTGCCTTTTGTATGCTTCAGATCCTGATGGGCTCGTTCTCCCCACGATCCGCGTGCTCCTTTCTGTTGATGAAGGAAAAGAAAAACTTACATCATATAATCATGTCTTTAAATATGAAAATATATTCCAGACCAATGCTCGGAATTATTTGCACTTTCAAGGTGATTTTAAGCAGCTATATCTACTTCTTTCCCCTTACTTTTTTCAACCGAATCACAGCCACAGCGCATAACTTCAGGATCGGCAAATAAGAATTATAAGGCGCTCCTTAATTATTGAAAAATTAATTATCGAAACTATGGTTCTATCATTATAATTTTAACAGTATAGCTATATCGGTAGTATATAAAAATAACAAGTATAGAAAACTAGTTTCAATAAAGACTTTCTTCATAAGATCTGCAAGATGTAGCCCTCGAATATCGCCTCGAAAGTGCAAATAATTTCGAATATTGTTCTAAACGAAGTAGCACAATTACGATCATTATCTATCTCTTACCTTGATATATATATATACAGTTCTACGTAATTTTTAATCATCAAATGTGATTTTTTTATTTTGCGACGGTGCCCCGTTGTCGAAAGATTTTCTTTGATCGAAGCCACCTCTGCCGCCCCTAAAACCACCTCGACCTCCCCTACCGCCCTCGCCGTTACCCCACGATTTCCTCGAACCGTCGTCGTTTCCGCCCCACGATTTTCGATCGCCGAAACCACCCCTACCGCCACGACCGCCTCTAAAACCGCGACCTCCGCGACCACCTCTATCGCCATCGCGACCTCCCCGGAAACCACCGCGACTGTCATCGCGTCCTCCCCGGTAACCACCGCGACTGTCATCGCGTCCTCCCCGGTAACCACCACGATTGTCGTCACGTCCTCCACGGAAACCACCTCTGCCACCCCTAGATCCTCTAAATCCACCGCGACCACCCGATTCCGATCTCTTAAAGCTATCGTCATTTTCGTCCTCCTAGAACAGAATAGGGACAGGTCAATCGCCACCCATCATCGTACAAACATATTATCATCTAATGATTAATTCTATCTTTTGGTTCGTACTTCAGTCCTTAAAATCTAATTAAGCTTGGTGAATGCACGGAAACGTGGCCCCAAGCTTTCATAGGAGTGGCGAGTGACCTGTTGTGCCTCTCGGACGTTTCCGAGCATTTACCTTTGCTTCGAAGGAATTATTAGCTAATTTTGGATCCACTGTGATCTCCTCCTGTCTTACACGACGGAATGGAACACTTTTCTTGGGCTAAGTGAAAAGACAAGCGATGAGAAAGCGTTTGAATGATGCAGTTGTTTGGAAATTGTAATGTTACCGTATATTAAAATTACTTGATATATAGCAATAACGTCGTACCTGGTCACCGTTAAAGTTGTTGCTTGCTTTCACAAAATTATCGTAATTCTTCTTCGACGGTTTCATATTCTCAGCTGACTTGTCTTCGTTTTCATCTGTGCGCTTCCTCTTATGCGATTTGACAGGCATCTGGCTTGGTGTTTCTTCTTCGTCGGAATCGCTCTCCTCCGAACTAGAGTCCTTTTTGGCAGGTGCTGTTTTGGCGACAGCTTTCGCTGGCGCGGCTTTGACAATGGCTTTGGGTTTTTCTTCCTCGGACGAATCTGAATCGTCCGAATCGCTTGAAGATTCCTTCTTCGCGCCCGTTTTTACCGGAGGTGTTTTTACTGGAGCGGGTGCTTCCTTAGCCGGTGCTTCATCTTCCGAATCATCCTCAGATGATTCACTGGAGGATTCCTGTTTCTTCGATGTCATGCTAGTTACCGGTTTTGTAACTGCTTTCGCAGGTGGTGCCTCATCTTCGTCCGACTCATCAGAATCTTCACTTGACGATTCCTTCTTCTTCGCAACTTGAACTTTCGCAGCAGGAGCCACTTTTTTAGCAGGAGGTTCGTTTTCGCTACTACTGTCTTCGTCGCTAGAAGATTCTTCTTTAACAGACTTTTGTATCGCTGGAGTCTTAACGGGAGCTGGTCTCTTCAATGCGGATTTCTTTTTGTCAGTACTATCTTCAGTGGTAGATTCCACTTTAGCGGATATTGCTTTCGGCGTTGTTATCTTTTTAACAACAGTTGCTTTCTTTGGCTCCTCTTCTTCCTCTTCCTCCTCGTCGCTGCTGTCTTCACTCAATGATGGATCCTCTTTTGTCACTTTTGCTGGCGTTGCTTTGCTCTGTTTCTGCGACGATTGAGTTACTTTTGGTGTAGATGTTTTTGCAACTAATTGTTGCTTAACTGGTGGTTTTTGATCTTCCGATGAATCATCAGAATCATCACTGGACGATTCTGTTTTTTTATTAGCCACTATGGGTTTCTGCTTAACCACCAGTTCCTCCTCTTGTTCCGAGGAATCGTCAGAATCGTCATAATCCATAGGTTTTATATTCTTACAATTCTTTGCAGTAGGTACCGATTTATGGGCAACTAATGGCATTGGTGTCGACTTGTGAATTGCTGACGCAGATAATGTCGACTTAGATGTTTTCTGCATGGACTTTGGAGTTTCCACAGTAGTCGGTGTTGATTTATGCGATGCTATTGAAGTCGACTTATGAGTTAATACAGGAGTTGATGTCAACTTCTTCGAGACATTATCGCTGTCTTCGCTTGACGATTTCTTCTTCTTTTTCTTGTTCTCTTTTGTTGTCTTTTGAATTTCCTCTTCTTCCTCTGAAGAGCTGTCATCAGAACTTTCTGCTTCTGGATCTGCATGTGTAACCTTAATGGGTTCTGACTTCTTTATCGGTTTTTTAGATGTTGCTTCTTCATCACTGGAGGAGGAAGTGTTCTCGGAAGAAGATTCCGCAGCTTGCTTAACTGCAGTCATTTTAACCTGTGAGTCACCATTGACTTGTGTGACTTTTTTCAGGACTTCTTGACTATCTGAACTTGAGGCTGAACTGCTATCTTCAACTTGCATCTTCATAACAAGTTTCTTGGGACAGTGATTTTGATAATATCGAAATACATCTTTTAACTTGGGTGCTTCTTCTGGCAGATTAGGCTGAAAGATATAAACATCATAATAATAATCATATATGTCGGTAATATTCTGACTGAAGCATTTTTTAACATGTTTGTTACCGCAGATCATTTGAAGGACTCTCTTCATAGACCATCTATTTTTTTAAGTTTTACATAATTTTATGAAAGAGGTTAATAATATAAATATAAAAATTTCTTACTATCACATATGTTGTGTTGGTCTCGTTAGAGATAGTTTACTAGTTGCAAATGTGTTAAACAATAGTTATTCAATCACAGAGAAATATGCCGGATTTTTTTCTTGTATTCAACAAGCATACGGCATAAAATTCTCTTTCGCTAGCCTTTTTAAAAGATAAAAATATTTTTCGTATTTCATCGACGCAATCTTATATTCTTTTTCTATTGTTTAATTCCAACGCGACTTGGTTTTGTTTCAAAGCAGTTCCACAGACAAAATATTGATTATTTGAGGATTTCGAACACAGGATATCGGAGCTTTCTAAATAAGGGTACTCGAGTCAGAAATTTGTGTCTACATGATAATGTCCCACACAATATAAAGATAATTGGGAGAAAAAGCACTTTTCGGCGAGAATATGTATTGCGCCCACGTGGTATGGCGGCGATTCGATGCCGCGTGGAAGTCGGCGGGATATACGCAATAGCATATAATTCTCGCGCTTTTTTACGCCGATTTCCACATAACTATTGTGACAAAATATCAACTTACCGCGCGAGTCTTCTTCTGAAAAATCTTCGCCAACGAGGCATCCTTTTGCAGCAGATAATGGGATACAAGAGCAGCTAAGTTGAACTCCTCGCTAGAAGCCATGTTGAAGATGCTAGCAACCTAACGTAGAAGGACTGAATAAAGTCTGCAGTTTCTCATGGACTACTCCTTACTTTGGTGTGCGATAGCGCTAGTGTCGCGTATCCATGGCTCACGTTATATCAAGATAGGCTACGTTCGCAGGAAACAACGTATGAATGAACGCTTACTGTCATTGGATAATCTTTTGGATCTACCTTGGATCTAAAAGAATACCCCAATCAAAGACTATGGTTAAGTTCATCTTTTATTTGTGCTTTTTTGTGCTGAAAGCGTCGTTATATCTTGTTTCTCCTTATCTTTATTTTTCATTAATGTCGGTCTACAATAGGTATTTTAAACCTTAATCTTTAAGAAATTGGCCAATCACAGTCGAATGTGAAAAGAACATGAATTAACTGTAATCGGCCTGTAATTTTTTAAGGCTTAAAACTTAAAATATCTATTGTAGACAGACTTAGAGTACGTTCTTTCATTTGCAACAGATGTAGCTGAATCCATCTCGTGGATGCATCAAATTTCACTTTTTAAAGTTACTAGCTAGGAACATTATTTTTCCAAGAAAATACATTCTCCTATTGGCCATCGAATCGTCATATGTTCAAAATTGGACCCAGTATTAATCCTTTAGTATTATTGAAGGAGCGTAAAGTAACCATAAATATTTGTTTAAGTTTGCAAAAAGTAATACCAAACAATAATATATTTTTAAAATGTTGTTATTGAAATTTACTTTATAAATGAAACATGGTTAGTTGTTAAAGACTTCATATCATATAAATTATATAAAAAATTTAGCAATGGCAATGTTAAAATTACTTTCAATGCTACTTTCTACACACCGAGGAGTCGTATTCGCACTTGAAACTTCTGAATTCGATCAGACTTCAATCTGCCAGTAGTAGGCTAAATACATTGCGCTCCCACACATTCTTACGTGCAAAGTATCCCATCCCCATGGTGTGTATTTAATCAAACGTGTAAATAATAACAGCCAATTAAGAACCCATTTAGCATTTCTGATCTATTGTACGACAGAAGGTCTGATTGGTTAGTTTTACGATGTTATTGGTTGCGCTTTATGCAAATTTAACGAAATACACACCATGTGAATGCCGATTTTTAGAATTGCGTAGATTACTAGAATACGAAGGTTAGGCTTACGCAAGTTACGCCGTATAAGGAGGCATTCTCAATACGGATGAAAACAAAACTTGCAGATGAAAATCAGCAGAGCGAATGTAAAACAAGTCGAACCAATCACGAACCGCCAATTCCGTATTGCGTACGTTTCGCATCATGGGACCGCGCCTTGACACTTATGGCTTCTCCCCACAGAACGCCTGTAGTTTTGAATATATAGACATGGATGAGGAATTGCCTTTTAACCTCTCTTTTTAGCTGAACTGCTAAACTGGTGTAATAAGTGAGAATTTAGTGTTTGGCCATATGGAAGCAACTCATAATAAATGATTCCTTTCCAGTCCCACCAAATGCACAGCAGAACCTTCCTAGCCGTTAGTCCTGGTTAGCCATCGTTTGAGCTGCTTCACCGCGCTTTGACCACGATCGTTTTCGCACAATGTTGTCGACCCATTTCTCATCCCCAGTCACCATCCGTTTAAGAAATGGGTCGATTTCATTCCGTTTGGCCAAGACTTCGCAGAGATGGATCCATCATGTTTCTTTGTGTTAATTGGTGTGGCACCCAAATATCGAGTTTCTTTTTGAATCCAGCTTTGTGCAAATGGTTTAAAACTGTTTTATGGTCGATCTTTAGCTCCTGGGCAATGCTACGACTGCTAACATGCCGGTCGATTATTTCTGTGATTTTATCGACATTTTCGACGACGGGCCTATCTGTGCATCTTTAATATCAAAAATACCTGAACGGAATCGACGAAACCAAAATGGCCGCAACGTAAAACGAAAAGGGGCGCGCAATGACACAGTCGCGGGAGAACAAAAGTGGCCGTAGCGCGGGACGCAAAAATCGGAATGAACTATAGCACAGAGAAAAATGGTTGAATTAATTTGATTGAATTCAAATACATATGATTATTGGAATGGTCGAAACAAAAAACGAATTAAGTGGCGATAGTCACCTACTACGCCAAACTGGCTATAATATGACGAATCAGCAAAACAACAAATGTATCGAATAAAAAGATAACAATTATTGTGGAGAAATTTCGTTTTAACGTCGATGTAAAATAAAGCATTATAGTTGCAGAACCGATGTATTAAAGACGTGATCTAATGTGAGATGTTAATAAAAATTAAAAAATGAGTCGTTGTATCGCGCAGATGGAAATGCGATCCATGAGATTTTTTTTCAGTCAAATTGTGTGTGACACCGAGCTTCTTTACCGCTCCAAGTTTGCTTAAATGTTCCGAAACGGTTGATTTGCCAACCTCGCTGCGATTTTCCAAATTGTTATTTGCCGATCAGAAGCGATTAAAATCGCCATCTGGACGTAACATCTGACCAGAGCGAGAAGCATATCTTTGATATCCATTTCTGCTGAATGAAATTTGGCAAACCATTTCTGAGATTAGTGCATCCTTTCCGTACACAACATACATCTGCCCTTATGGAAATAAGAAAGCATTATGCACCGAAGAAATACGTTATTTCCTTTCAAGCCCGGAGAAATATCTTTATTTGATCACAACAACTATTATCATAAAATATGCGTCTGATCAAAACCCATCATCTCATCATGTACACATTGCGCCAACCTAATCTAAAATTTGCATTTGAACGCAATCTATTGACAAATTCGCACGGACAACCCGATATATAATATCGATTATATCGATTGCTTAAAATTGATATGTTTATTAACGTATTGTATTTTACACCAAATATATGTCTAAAAAGTTTTCTATCTCTCAGTTAGTATAAACGGGATAAAACATTGAGAAATACCTTCTAATCTTGCACTTCATCAGATAGAAAAAATACACGTCTCTTAATTTTTACTACTCTACAAGTATGTCGAGTTTTGCTGAAATTGGAAATTTCACTTTGCGGTGATATTCCCGATTACTCGATTTAAGGACGCAATTTTTCATATAGTAAACAAGGATTTTCCAAGATATAAAAATAGAAAATTATCACAGAATTATTTTATTATTTTAAACTGTTGTAAGAGGTATTATACATAGAGGCAATATACATTTGACATCTTCGTATCACCATATTTCGTACTTAAAAAAAACATCTGTCGTATTTAAGTGCTTTGACAAACACTCTCAGTGTCGTAACTCTATTAAATTGCTGAATGAAGTAGAAAGTTCGCTAAAGTTTTGGAAAATGGTCTGGAGAATTGAAATCGGAACAAAAGGGGGGACAATTGGATCTCTTTGTTTTATCCATTTTTTTTACTCTAAACTTGAATCAGATGTTGATTAGATATTGGTTAAAAATAAATATGGAGTTCCTTCATACTGAAGCCACATTCTTTCTCGTCCGAGGACATATCTTCTACTAAACTTTAATTCTGATAACCCTGTTTTCATATCGATGAGTATGAAATAAGTAATTTGCACATTACCGAAAGAGAAAATCGCTATTTAAACGAAAGGACCTATGTCGACTAAATATTATTTATTCGGTGACTAGTATATTATAAACCTGTAAAATTCTGACCACCTTTCAATAACAATTTGCATGTACGTGTCCAATTAATAGGGCAACTATTACACAAAATTAACCAGACGCTTGTAAGAAGAAAGCCAAAAAGTGAGTTTCCGCTTAATTCCTTTTATATAAAAGCTGCTTTATATATTATCAATATATACTTATTTGTATCTAGAGAATTCTTCAGACAAGTCTGCTCTAAGTCTGTTTATACACTTCGCAATTATTGATAGTTTCCTCGATTTCCCCGAATTACTTTCTAAGTACGGCAGCTTTTCATCACTTCATGTACTGCCGTTTCGGTAAAAGTAAAATGACTCCAATGGCCACGCACACATGCCATAAGCTGTGAACGAGATAATAATTCTTGCGCGTTTGCAGGAAGGCATAAGAAACGAGACCCAGAGCAACGAGGAGAAGCCCGGCTGGAAAGTATATGGTTCTAAAAAGAAAAAAAAAAACATATTACACACACACACACATATGCATTGTGACAAAAAATAGTTCAGACAAAAGTTATGAGGCCTAAATATATATATATATATCTATCCGACCTTGGATTTTTTATCAATGGAATTTTTTTAACGTAATTTAATTCCTTCAAGTGTAGAAAGGTACTAAAGCAAGTGAATACTTTTCGAGATGTTTTACATTAAATTCCGATGCACCGATATTCCCTGTCAGGGGATCTCACAGATTAGTTGTCGCAGCGATTTGTTGATTAAAGGAAGCACGCGAGGATGATCCGTGTTCGGTCGCGTTAAATCATCAATACCGATCGGTGCAACATTTCAGAGGAAGAAAATCGCAACCATCCGCTTGCGAACGAATTCCTCTTTCCTCCCTTGCTTTCTCACCTGTACGGACGCGAAGGATATCTAATAGTTTGCCTTCTTCTGCACCTGTATCCCCAGAATAATCCAATAATGGCGGAGCCGGTGACCGCCGGCAGAAGGAACACCCAGAGCGCCGTACGATCCATCTCGGCGCCCATGGCGAGCACGATGGCGCCGGCTATTTGACAGAAGGCGGTGAGCCGCGGTCCGAGCGACGCCATCGCAACTAGAGTGACCCAGATGGCCAGCAGCGCGTTGAAAAAGTCGCAAAACTGCAGCACACTCAGCCGCATGATACAGACGCCGTAAACGTCCTCGCCAGCCTCGCAAGCGTGGTAGAATGTTGAAAAGAACATGACTGCGGCATAGGAGAGCGCCTCGGTGAAGTACTCACGGCGAATTGCTACGTATATCGATCCGAGGAATGCAAGGTTGCTGAAGGTCAAGGTCAGCAAATGAAGGATTATACCGCCATGAGTGAGGACATAGGCGTCGTCGGCACAATCGAAGCCGCGGTAACCTCCGGTACAGAGACACGTCGAGAAGACGAAGCCGCTGCTCATGCAGTGCATGCACTTGCCGTGATCGTTGCAGCGGCCCTCGATGCACGGTGACGACGCCACTATGCTCTCCACTGAGACAGGACAGCGCGATAGGCAGTCGCAGGTGTCGCATGCCGCGTCACCGCCAAGGCAAGTCTGGCCGCAGTGACAAATATCGTTATCGCTGGTAGTCTCCTCTAAACAGTAGGCGCGCATACTCACGTACCAGATTCCCGCTTCCGGGAAAGGCACGTGTACGTATGCTGGTCCGGTCGAGTTCACGTATACGTCGGCTGTCGTGACATTATGTACACGCTCACAGGCACCGCCCGATGTTATATTCGAGTAGCGACCTGTTATCAACATTCAATCAACAAGGAAATGTATGAATGCGCTAATTAATCCAACGGAAAGATTCGTTAAAATCAATTAATAAACCTCAGTCAAATAAGATTATATGGTCGAATAACATTTTTCTGTCAAAGTTTGAGAAAGAGAAATGGAAGCGTTTATTACCAAAGGACATATAAACTAACCAAAAGAAACGCAGGCGACAAGGATGATGTTCTTCTTATATTTCTCGTCTATATCGACTAGCTTAAACCCCAAGGTGACTGTGCCACCAACATCGTACACCCGACCAATCTTAAAGCTAAAGACGGACAGAGCGTCGACGGTTATGTTGAAAGGCTGAGGTTTTGTTTCGTTGCCGCGTAGATGTTCATAGTCAAAGAGAAAGAACTCTGGGAAGGACTTTCTTGTCAATTCCACCAATGTCACCTGATCAAAAACTGTTTGGTTTATCAATCGCACTATTACGTTTGACGCGTTCCCCGAAAGTAGACGAAGAGTTACGTAGTGGAAACTGCCGGCATAGGGCTTGAATAACAGCGACGTCTGTGTAGAATTCAGCAAAACATTGGCGAGGTTATCCCCCGCTGTAATATGGACAGTAATGTTGCAGTCCTCACCGCAAGATGAATTCAACAATAAGCTCGGCTCCACGAAGCCGACGTCCGGCACAAGAAACTGCATTATCGCTGAATCCGATGTCTCGTTCAACTGTACCTCATGTTCGATTCCAGGATTCACCAGCAACGTCATGGCCGGCATCTCCACGAACATTTCAGAGTCTAGCACAGTCTCACAAGACGCGCCGAGACCTAAGAAAAGAACAACAAAATACGAAAGTCGTTGTTCAAAAGGTACCGAAACTCGGTTTATCGCAATAGGATCCAATCTCCTCGCTAGTCGACGACACCTTGTCTTCAAAGAAAACCTTCAGTTTCTACTCGCTTCAAATCGTCATATCCCATTGAAAGAGAGAAAAGAATCGGAGCGTAGCGATTAGACAAATATTTTTCAGTGTTTCAACATGTTAAGTTTTTACGATGCGATTCAAAAAAATTTGGAATCCGAATTTTCCTCTCCCTGTGCGCGCCATAAACTTTCATTTTCAATTTTGCAAGGTTCACTTCAAATTGGCGCTGTTTGTAGTAAAATTTTTCGAGAGCCTCGAAGCGTTCTACGTCTTTACAATGCTCTTTTCAACATCTCCATTTTCTCGAAATACCTTCAAATCTTTTTAGCGCCGATTTGAAATGATTCTTGAATTTTATCGGGAAGTGCACATTTTCATGTCAAACATTGGCTAGGCTGATATAATAAACTACGTTCTCTACCTTGTTGCTTGATTTGCTCATCATTAGGATCAGTCCAGGATCGAAAAGCAATTGTATACCAATCACCCGCTGGCGGAGCTTCTACCTTGATCGTATATTCGTCTCCGTTACTCTGCATCTGTAGACTGTAATGCCGTTGCCGCCTTTTCATTAGGTTCGCGGCCACTTTCGATCCATCAGGACGAACAAACGGCAAACTACCAGTTTTTAAATGCAAAGAGACATTGCGCGGCAGGCATTTACCTATTCCACCAGTCTTCTCTTCTTCCGCCGTAAATCTGAAATGTAAACAGATATCTCGGAAATTATGCATATTAAGCATCGCGACGGTATTCATATATGTTGTCATAACTTCGAATAAACTTTGAAAAACTTTTACCTGCCAATTCATATAAAAGTTATGTTGGCAAAAAATTGTCCACTCAAACGGAATCAATAATCTCATTAAGATCTACTTTGTTTCTGCATAGTTTCGAGACAAACCCGTAAAATTACATTTTCTAAAAGAACTCGAAATTTACGTACTCTCTTACCCAACTAAAATTACGTTTCGGGAACTCTACGAATTTAAGTATTTACTCTGCTAACAGATTGGATAAAATTTGAATCTAGCAACAAGAAACGGATATATTTGACCGAGTATAATAAAATCAAATAAAGTAAAAAGACTTTAAAGTCCAATGAAGCCGACAAAAAACAAAAGGGCATTACCCTGTTTTAATTTTATATCAGATTATGTGTCCTAAAACAGACTTTCAGGATTTATTAACGTTTTGCCAGATATGTATTTCAAACTAGAGAGTCGTAAATTAAGACGGAAATTAAGAGCCAAAGAAATATGTGTATTAAAATCGCTAAAACTGGATTAAACTAGTGGAAATTTAATAGCACGCAAGTACTTGTCAGTGAAATGAATCTGATACATACTTGAAAGTGACCGCGACAAGATGTTCCGGCACATTGAAATGTATGATCGAGATATGACGATAGGATGAATAGTCCTCTAGTAGATTGCTCGGTTGTTGAGCGATCTTTTTCAATCTGCCGCATAGCCCTTGATGCACCATGAAAGTCCATGTCAGCAATATAACCAAAATACTTTCTCGCATATTCCGTCTTGCTACATAACAAGATATCCGCCTGATATAAAGTCTCGCTCAAATAATCTCCTGGTAAAAAATCTCCTTTTATGGATTTTACGTTTTCAACCTACAAGAAAGAAAACCAAAAGTCACAACATATATTTGCTAATTTTTGTCATCTTTTGTAAACGAAGCAGTTAAAATATGAATAAATATTGAGTAAAGTAGCAACGAGATAGAGATTTGGTAATAACATATGTTGCCACATTATGTTTGCAAACCTTGAGAAAACTGGAAAAAGTTTTAGCCGTCACTTATTNCTCTATCATATATATATATATATATATATATATATATATATATGTATATGTGTGTGTGTGTGTGTGTGTGTATAAAATTGTAGTTTTTTATCGTAAATATATTGCAATTGTTTTATTATATAAAGTCGAAATAATTTTGTATAGAAATGTTTTTAATATTTAAAAAATTATATACAGAATGTCTGGTATATTTCGTATAATCTCCTTTCGTATGATGCTCGCGTAAAGATAGAACGAGTTAAACAGAAATGTCCTCTACCATTTTGCAAACATCTACGTAAAATTTCGAGTTATTAATTATTGACCATATATAGAGATTTCTTTAATTAATAATTGAAAAATGTGTATTTGACGCTTCTACCCAAGGTCAAACTGATAAGATCAGTAAATAGATTTATTTAAACCCTATCATTTTTATTTCTGAAATATTTTTTTATGAAACTTATATTTTCCGAGATATTCCGGGACCCTGACCCTTTTTTATATATCCCGTATAATTTTACCGAAGTTTAACATTATTTCATAACAATTTGATTTCGCAAAATTTCCTTATGTTTAATCAGTCACGTTTAAAGATAATTTAAATTACTTTCTTCTTACCACAAGGCATAACTTTTATAGAACTTATTTAAAAGAAGAGAAAGAGAGAGGGGAAGGAGGAGGAGGAATAAATTTGCACAATATGCACGTTCAAGTAGGTCAGATTCCATCACTAATTCATACTTCCTGCGGCTACAAGAAGCAATCAACTATTCACGTTAATCGGCGAAGAAGCGTACACGAATCGTTAACGTTGCAATATATTCTCTCCAGCTGTTTTTCATGAAATCATTTGCATTTACTACGAAATAGAATGCGCGTGTTGTTCTAAAATAATAAGAATCAGACAAATTCAATTTGCAACTCAATTGCTACAAATTATTTAACAGAGGATTCAAAACACGGAATTAAAAAAGTAAAATGATGCAATTATAAAATTTATAAAAAACGTCACAACTTTCATGAATGGAAAAATAAGGAAAAATAAAAATATTTTGTAATATGATTCAATAATCGAGGTTATTCTGTCTTTACGTAGTCTAGCAAACACAGAATATAACTATTATATAATATAGAAGTAACATGTAATATAAATTGTTGTTATACGTCATTAATGTTGTTTAACACGTTGAATACCGTGAGAGCCACCGGCGCTGTGATATTACCGTGTCTTGTTTCTACGTACGAATAAGATATAAATTGCATCTATAAAATATATCTATAAAAGGCTGTACGGCCAATAAATGAGACGGGATAAGAGATACATATATTTTGAATGATATTTATTTACCTTAGTTATATAATCATCAGTTAAACGTTTGTACGATCAATGGAAATCGGCGCGGCAGTCAACGCGTTAATTTCCTGTTATAATTGCAATATAACAGTTTTAAATCTATTCTTATATCGTTCTAATATTTAAACAGTGTTATGTAAATGTTATATAAACGTAATATAACTGAATGTTACAGGTCATATCATAAAAATGTTACCGGTAAGATAAAACTAGTTTCTTGTAATTTTTCACTTATAAATATAACATGTAATATATTGTATTATATTGTGGTTATATATTCACTCATGCAGCTTTTTATCCAAGAGATATCCTGTGGATATCCTTAGGACATAGAGACATCTTTAGGATGTCCCTTGGATGTCTCTATGCTGTATGGGTAAAAAACTTGTTTGTTATATTACTAGAAGGTACGCATGCAATATTAATATAGTATTTACATGAAAGACAATAGAAAACACAAATTGCAAAAATTTATTGTAACTTATTATTAGACGTACAAATTAATGCTCAGCCTTTTTTCGAGAAATTTATTTATAAAAAATTAAATCACATTTTAATCTGCGAAATAATCTCCATCAAAATTTATGTTTTCGCCATCGATTGGACGGGTAACATGTCGGAAAAGGACGGCGATTTTGAACCAATAAAGTCGCCAATGCTCTTATGAATATCTTCAGACGTTTTGAAGTGCGCAACTAAGTGGTGTTGCAGGGGCCATAACAAATCCGAAGGGACTAAGTCTGGAGAATAAGCCGCGTGAGGGAGAACTTCCCAACAAATACGGGTGTCCTTGGTGGTTTTCGCCGTGTGTGGCTTTGCGTTGTCATGCAGCAGGTCATGCATCAACTTCTGCAGCCACTTTTTATACGTGCAATAGCACCTTCCCCTAAGGCTGAACAAATTTTTCTTAGCCTCGCTAGCACTTTTTCCAGCTAGAACGCGAAAAGCATGCAATGCTTGACATATTATCAGTTTATCAGACATAATTGTGCTTAGTACACTTATCTATCGATTTTACACTTATCTACTAATCTTCGAGGTTATCACTGCAAAATACTATTATTTTCTAATTTGGTATTTCAACATGGCGGCAAGAAAAGTTCAAACAAGTGCTACAATTGATTGAGTTTATGAGCCGAGAATTAACTTGTACATCTAATATATTTATTTTATTTACCGCACTTTCTTTCCATAATATAATACTAATATAAATTTTCTCCTTAGATCAATATATTAAATATATATTTTTTAAAAATGTATATTTCCTCTGACAACACGTATAGATCTATGTGTGTCCTCCGAGAAAATCATAAAATATTTATTGAAATAATTGATATTTAATAATCGTATATTTTAATTACTTTTCGACTTAGAATATAGTCAAATCTAAAAGTATCAAGATTATTAATACGATTCCAAAATTTGATATTTCAATAAGATGTCATGAGAGACGATTGGCTGCACAAAATAGAATAATAAAAATTGTTGAATCAAAAATATATTAAAATGTATTAACGTTAATAAAAATCCGGACAATCGTGAAAAATAGATGGATTATGAAAAAAGAATTACACTCGCGAATTAGGGAAAGAGAGGAAACTGGCAAAAGAGTGAGGGGGGGGGAGGGAGAGAGAGAATTGTTACACATACACACACACACGCGCGCGCGCGCGCACGCACGCACGCACACACGCACGCACACACACATGATATTTTTTTACTTATCATATCGTACTCTCTAAATCATAGAAATGGTGCGTACAAATATCGCGTAGCTTTAACAATCGCATTTTTTCACTTGCCTTATGCACAGAAAGCTCAGCGCATCGACGTGCTATCGTCACGCAGTCGTCGTCAGGACAACGTTCGTAATGTTCAAGAAACAGTAGTGAGACGCGGAAAACCCGTGACACTACTGCCAACCGTCAATGATCTTAGCAACAAGTGCGTCCGAGCAATTGCGACTAATCGCTTTATCCGCACCGAGATCATATCTCCACGCGGCTGACAATCTCTCACGATTGCTTTCATATCTCTACATACTTCCGCAATTTCGCAATATGTCGGATGACGAATGTGACGATCGACATGCTGAGCGACGATATCAGTCGCTCTCTCTGACTCAGCGATACTGCACTACAGACTACGTTCAGACGATTGTCGTCTTGAGGTAGACTGTCGGCGCGAAGAAGCGCGCACTCACCCCGTCTTGTTCTGTCACTCAAAGCGACAATGGCAGCGGCCATACGTGCGACCGTAATTGAAAGCGCGCGCACGCCTGTATAAGCTTGCGACTAACGCGGAGCTTTCAAATATTTCTCAACGCTTGACAAGCAACTGATTGACGATATCTTTTACAGAAGATGTTACAAATTCAACAATTTTTAAGGCTCCGGAGTAGTCGCTATGACTATCCTTGTTTAATGACGTCAGAAGCAAGAAAACGCATGCCGAGATTCCTTACGTTATACTTTCAAATAAAAAGATATATCCACAAAATATACATGGTGTTCTTCAAGTACCCGGCCGTACTCAAAGGGCGATTTTTTTCAAGTAAAAAAGTTCATATAAACATGTGTCCTAAACGGCTTAGTTTCCAAAATACAGGGTGTTTGCAAAAAAAAATTTTAACGTTTGGTAATAATCTGTCTAAAGTTCCAGTCACAGAAACAACAGCAAAGAAAGATACAAAAACAGGTTTCAATTCTTTAACACACCTGATATCTTAAAGCGTATACATCAATCTGAGAAGGAGGGCCGAAGCAGATGTATTACGGCGGAAGGTGGTAATTTTCAATCATTCGTTTCGTTTCTAATTTTTTTCGCTATGGTATTTTTAAAATATCATCCCTGATATTTGTCATAAACCAAATTTCAATAAATGTAACGCAGGACAGGCAGCCCAAACATTTGTTGACGAGAAATTGAACGTGAACAAAGCATGCAAGTGACTGTTATGCGAGAAAACTTCATTCTCAGAAGTTTTATCAAAAGATCCGAGAATGAAATTTTCAAATTCGATAAAAACTAGAGATTAAAATAACAAACGATCAGTTTATTTAATTATGTATTCTTCCCAACAAACAAATAGGAAAAATGTCATATTAAACTATAAGATCAAATACTTATCAAACATCAATTAGAGAATTTTCTTCTTTGTAAGAATAAGTTAGTTATTACATAATTTTTGGCGAAAAAACTTGTGTCACATATTAAATTGTGATTCAGGTAATTGCAAAGTCGTCCAACCTAGAACGTTCATTCATATCTTTTAAATTGCTTTTTTATTTAAAAAACATTCGGGCGCAATATTTTTAATAGAAAAAGATGATTTTTTCTGATATAAAGAATCTCACAATGAACTCCGTGAATGTACATTTTCATACAGCTTTTTTTCTGACGCATGGAAATTTTGTAATATTTTGAATATTTCTGAAAATATAACAGCATAAATATAACAGTAAAATAAGTATATATAAAATATATGCTACGTCTATTATAAATCTCTCGCTTTTCAAAATTCCCAGGAATCCATCCATCGCAAGGAATGCATAGAACTTTCAGGGTCCATGGCAGATGGACCATTCATCCCATAGGCCAACGGTGAAAATAAGTAAAAACTGCAATTAACATTGATTATTATAGAGATTACACTACATATGATGTATTATAAAGATTATATTGACACGACGACTAAACATCAGTAAACATTTTGTCAATAAAAATTATCTTTCAGTTATAGAAGTGTCTTATAAAAAATCATCTTAAAAAGCCAAATTTCCTCATTATGTAATTTAGAAACAGATTGTAAATACGAAAATGTTTAAATATTAATACTTAGACATAATAATTTTCAAATAATTAACAATTAAAATTGACCACTAGTTTGTGCACTTATATATATATATATATATATATATATATGCATTTTACTGTAATTAAACGCATGAATTACTATAATTATGCAATATTAGTTGCTTACGATAAAAAAAAATGTATATAAATTCGGTATTCTCGCGACATTATATTTCATTTTAATGAAAAATAAATTTAGATATGTAATTTCACCTGTATACAATCCCGGAGATTACAGTTCCTAGTATGACGTGGTAAACCATGTTTCCCACTTTCTCAGGAAGCAACAATAGGAGACCGTCGATAATATGATTTAATGTAATTCCAGTCAACATGGAACTATACAACAACGCTGGAAAGTAATGGTGGAAGTACAGCACTCTACTCATCGCCCAGAATGGTGCATAGTGCAAAATCCACCCAAGAAAGATCCATTTGCCAGCATGTGTTATTCTGCTTCGTTGTTCAACAGCGTCATCAACATAGCCTCTTTGTTCACGCACAGCAGAACACACATAAAGAATTATGAACACTATAAGGAAGACTATGTTTCCCCACCAAATAACGGGATTTCCAAGTAGATATATCCTTTGATTATTTCCGGAAAAAAATTGCCCCTAAAAATGATTATTTTATTATATATAATTTCACAATGTAATGCTACGGAGAATTATTTATTAAATTAATCGATTAGCAATACTGTCCCATAAGTGGCATGCGCGCACTATTGCGTCAGAAAGAACTCGCTAGAAATGTATTGTAGAATTTAAAAAGTCATTAATTTTATATTCTCAATGTCAAGGAATACGAATTTTATGTCAAAATTGAACAATATTCAATTTTCGATACATTGTTTTTTTTTTAACGATTCACTGTTTAACACGCATATTAAACAGAAAATAACGCATCGGGGATTCGAGATTATTTAATAAAATTTGATATCCCTTGAAAACACAAAATTAGTTAGACTTTTTAAATTCCGTAATATATTTTTAGCGAAGAAATGAGTTTTTTCTGACGCAAGATTGAATAATGTGCCACTCAAGTGGTTAATAATTCACAAAAAAGAAAAATTATGAATGCATTACCCTATAATTGATCGGCCACTGCCACGGTCGCGAGGACACCTCTCCTTCCTTCACTTTTAGATCAGAGTTCCCTTGCAGCATTACGGCATGTGACTCCAGAAATCTGTCAATGAATCCTGGTGCGTACACTCGAAAACTAACGTTTGGTACTAATAAAAATGTACAACATTAGTTGCAATCTTAATTATTATTAAAAAATGTGCATTGCTCACTTACATTTGGCATACTGATTATCTTCTATATTCCATAACGCGTTTCTGTCTCTCATGTTTGGATTGCAAGAAACTTCTTGTTGATTGTATCCCCTGTGCAAATTTTAACTATAGATTTTCAACTAATTGAACTAAAAATTGCTTGATATCTAAATGAAATTCATATTAAAAAATTGCAATCGATGAAATGGAAGAATTTTTATTTTCTTTCATTTTCATTTCCTATCTTTTTATTAATATACATGTAGGGCGCACCTCTACAGACCAACATGAGCATATTTAGTGAGGGCGTAAAACGGATTGAAGTGAAGAAACAAACATTTTGCAAACAACAGGCAAAGTTTGGAATGATTGAAAGAGGCTTCTTTAATTCAAAAATTTGCATACAATGCGTGATACTGCAAAGTAACAGAAGACTTTTTTGTTCAATTTGATGAAAGTTCTACTTGAATACGATTGTACGAGTTGTGTCAAGCACATAAAAAAAAATGACAACCATTGTCATATTAGTTTAGTTAGTTTCCAACGGAGGAATTAAACTGAGATAGTTTTCTGCTATACGTACTGACCATTTTGGCAACGTCTTGCCACTGCAAGTTAGTACGCAATGATGAAGATAATGCACAAACTTCAATTTACTTGTTACCGTCTCCACCACATCACCATCCTTTCCATTCGTTATCAATATCTTCCAGACATCATTAGCATCACCTGTACCGTTCTGGAAAAAGAAAAGGAAATAAGATTGTCACAAACAGATTAAGAATAACACTATTTATATTATACAACTTACTTCTCCATATCCAGTAACTTGATAGTGTTTCTTCGATATTGGTGCGATTTCTTTGTGTGAATGTAAATTCCGTCTCGTGATTACGTGCTCCAAACGAACGAGGTCGCCATGTTTCACTAACACTGCTTCAGACGGCATCTCATCTGTATCAAATTTCTTCACTAGCCACAGATTATTATCGTCCTTGTGAGAATAGGTCGTGATCTGTAATTAGATATGATAGCGATATTTAATGACTTTTCTGCGTATTCTACGTATTAAAAGTATCGATAAAAATAAATTATATTAATTGATTTTATATGATAATTTTAATATTAAATTTATAATTCATATTAAAGTCATTTTCGTTATCCATAAAATATAATTGCGTCACCGAGTTATCGTTACTAATAATAAAATGATGTCACCAGATCGTTATTGAGAAAAATAACGATAAACAAGTACGATATTTCCCAACAACAACCTGTTGCTGTCTGGCGCCAACTCCTTCGGGGTACAGGTGCCAATGAGAATGCAAATAACCGCCGCCTGTGCGATGATTCTTTAACGTAATCGAGGCACCGTAGGATAATTGCCGCGGCATGGTTGCATTATATAACGAATTCCCTCGTAATAGCGATTGAAATTCGGAACTGTAGAACCCATCGCCGCTTCCGCTAAATAAATATATCTATCTGCATAATCTGAATATTAACTATGCAGATAAGTAGTAATAAATTTCACTTGTTCCAATCGGCGCTTCAAGGCACACACTTTCGAAACTTTGAAAAAAATTAATCGATGAATGGATTGCTTCTACAGTCTTTTTTCTACCATGAAATTCACTTATTGTCAGAAAGATGGGAAAAGGTTGTAGGAAGCGGAGGAAAAATATTGAAATACGATGTATCGTTTTTTTTTCTTACACATTTTTGGGCCTTAAAATTAACCGAAACCTTTAAATATATATCTTAATTCATTATATTTCTCCTTACCTTTTGTTAAGAACTGAAAGATGAATATAAAAAAATAGCATGTAAAGTAAAACCGGCAAGAGGATGAGACAAAGGCATCTCGCTAATAAATGCTTTCCCACATAAGACTGCAAAAAATAAGACGATAATCATTTGAATACACTTAATGATTTAAAGACTCTAATTCAAGATAATTATGTGTGTTAAAATCATTTCGCCTACATAAGTGAAGATCAAGGTTGAAAAAATATCACTTCATATAAACGCACAATAGCATAATACTATTAATTACTGTTATAATATTAATTAAATGAGAAAAAGGCAGAAATTGCATAATTTCCAATTTCCAAAAAGCTTAATATTGAAGTAAGTTGCTGGAGTACTTACAATGGGATTGGACAGATCTCCCAATTCTCGCCAAAGCTCATGCGCAGTATAAAAACCCACGAGTAAAACAACAAAGAGCCCGACAAATTTCACACTAATTGTACACGCGAGTGAAGCTCCAGTAAATGACAACCACAACCACCAAGGCTGTGTAAACGGTCGGTTGTAAAGCGACGCTACACGCGCCATTCCCCATGTTGCGCACATCATAAAACACAACAATATCGGGTCCAAAAGAATATACTGATTTAACGTCAGCAGTCCTACATCTGCAATGAGAACGACGATTTATCGTGACTTTTGACGACTAGATTGCCAGACGTTTATTGTGAGAATATTACCAAATAAAATAAAAGTAGCAGCAAGTGAAGAAGCGCGAGTGGACTTGGTGAGATCCCAAACGATGAGAAAAGACAGAGGAACAATGGTCGCACCTAAAGATGTGCAGAACTAAAATAGAAAAATTGTACATAAACTTGACACTTTGATATTTCAAATAAATTCTGAAAATTTTTCAAAAGTTCGTCCTTAATTTAAATTGAGTTTAAATAACTCACAATTCTCATGCCGATATAATTAATATCTTCAAATTTGTCTCCTGGTTTTTCGAAAGCAAATGTACCATCGTAGCCAGTCATATATCCAGACAAAGCAATAAGCATCTAAAATATGTTATTACATTCATGTCAAATAAATTGAGTCACCGTTTTCGAGTTATCGCATGTTTTTTTTTTTTACATATTCTATGCATGCTCTCAAACATGTTCATTTGCGGCCCCAATGTTCACCGGAACGCTTATTTTCATTCGTAGCTTTATATTATTTCATTTCTTAAACATCCTGTATATCTATCTTGCTATACAATATTTCAGTACAATAATGTTTAAGATAATTACTTCAATACTCGTACAAATATTCAAAAGATCTATCCTAGAGACGTCCCAGAGGTATTTGAATATCTTTGGAACGTATCCAGGGTGTCTTTTGAATATTTATGCTATACGAGTATGTATAAAATTTCTATAAAACTATATATACCTTTCCCAAAGGTGGATGCACGTCGAAAAAGAATGTTCTATTTATGTACCAATTGCCCATTTTTCCAAAATGAGTTTCATCCCAACTACAATCAAAAATTTTTCTTAAATACTACATAATTTAATGAATAAAATTAGTGCCATCTCAAACAAAAATTTTTAATCATACGTGATCATATGTGAAATTTGTCTTCCTATATGACCGAGTCTGTTTAATTATATGTAATTATTATTGTGCTTTTCCATTCTATAAAAATGTTTTGACCATTATCTCTACATTGAGACCTAAAAGAAGACTTGCTAAGACCTTCTAGAATAGAGAAAAAAAATTTCATCATCATCCCTATCCACCTTTTAACTGCAACCACTGCTGCATGCGTTACCTCAATGATCGAACAATTAGTATCGACTCCAACGGCTCTGATATTCCTATGACTTGTACAGGATGTCTCAAAATTAAATGTCAAAACTATGTATAATTATGTATACTTTTAAGAGTTTAGTCTCATAGGACCATATATGAAAATTTTTGATTGAGATTCTCCTAGATTTTAATATGTCTTACCAGACATGCTGAGGTTCCGTAACTTTATAGAATCTTGTGATTAACGTAAGTATAGTTATACCGCCCAGTAGGAGCCACCAATTCCTATAATATAGACATTCAATAACTACCCAGATAGAAATACGTAATGATCACGTTTCATCACAATGTGATTGCCATACTGTGACTTAATATCTTTTTTTAAAGATTATTTACGCGATTAACATATGTGTGCGCATATTTTTGACCCGATTTCGCTAGATATTTTTCCGATATCATGAACGATATGCGAACACGCATCTGTTCTTGAAAAGCACGTTACGATTATTGCAAAAATGAGACCAGATTGAATACATATTACGATCTGGGTATGAACATGTGCTAAGCGTTACGCAACATCATTTTGCTAATTGGGTATAAATTCTAATTGAATTATTTTACATACGTAGCGTCTCCTTTCTTTTCGTTATCTTGCAAAGCCGCCGCATTTCTCGGTCTACAAGCGATTTTTTGAATATTACAAATGTTTTTCATGTTTCATTCCGCTTTCCTATTTTTGTTAATAAAGGATATTTTCCAGCAATAGACGCAATATAACACTGTATTCTGCACGGAATGTCGCAGGAATGATTACGTTACATGAAAAAGATCTAAATGTTTACTTGCACTTTTTACACTTTTGCACAGAGGTCCGTATTCTAAACTAACTTTTATCAGTAAAATTTCAAAATGGCGGCGAGACTGCCTGATCAGCTGAGAGGACAGTTAATTTAAGGCATTTTTATCGATAGAAAATGTAACCCACGACGCGCTTGTTTATGATATCTATAGCTGCACTGTGAAAATGTGCTGACAGAGAGATATGAAAGTCCCGTTTCAAAGGGCGCATCTTTCGACGCGCCCTCTGGAAAAGTGCGTCCAAACTACATCCGTTATAAGCGTCCAGCGGTAAGACCGTTCGCATATACTGTTGGTATATACACCGCGTAAGCGAAAAGTACCCTACAGAATGTGAAGGCTAAAAAATTGATAATTATTCGACCGTAAGGAATGTAATCAGCACATAATGATACGGTAATACGGTAATATTCGCGTCGGCATGATCTATCCCCGTCTCTTCATCACAGTCTGTCCATTAAAATGAACGGAAAATGGCGTAATTTTATGATGGCGGCTGAGAGAAAGGTAACGTTGCAAAATAATACGGTTCATGATGATTGAATAATTCGATCAGCTTCTTTATTATACGATTTATTGGAGAGCAGAAAATTGATAAATCTCATTGGCTTTCTACTATTACTGTACAACGAGATTGTACACGACTGTACACTGTATTTACATCGGTTCTTAAACGACTCTTTGGTATTCTGATCTACGTATGCGCGGCTTTCTTCAAGGTGACGATCGTCCACCACGCTGCACCGACATCTCAGCGGACGCGACTGCCATCCACTCGTTGCTAGCGGACTGAAACCACGTCAGGCCCAACGAATACCTGCCGTTGAGATTGGCGTGCTGGCAGTGACTGAACCACCATCCGCCTCGGTAGTTGGCCGCGCAGTCGGTCGTACTAATGTCCATGTCGCGGTCTTTCGCGCTAAACGCCATGCCATCTTGATAGGATAGGGCGTCGGTAGCGTTGCCGGAATAACCGGCGACGTGGAGCCGGTAGCCGGTCTCCTCGGAATCGACGCTGAAGTGCTCGTATTCGGCGCGCCAGCGCACGCCGTACGTGTCGGTAAGGTCGACGCGCAGCCGGCTGCAGTTGTCACGAGTAAGCCGGTGCAACGCCTCGTTACCGATCCAGAATTCGCTGACTGGCGAGCCGAAGCCGGCCGAGTACTCGTTCCACGTGCGATCGAAGTCCACGGCGCCGTCGATCCTGCGCGATATCACGATCCAACCGGCATGGCAGGAGGCGAGTAACGGCACTCCGGGGCCGGGGGCCAACAAGGTGAGACCGTCGCGTTCCTCGCAGTTGCCGGGCAACGAGTCCACCATCAGCCGGTACTGATCCTCCACTTGTTCCAGTTCGCGCGTCACCACCCGGCTGACGTCCAGATGGCCAACGGTCTTGTTCAACGCGTCCAGGCCCTTCCGCTGCGCGTCGCTTCTTTCCTGCAGCTGCGACGCGCTCACGCTCAGCGCCTGAACGGTGCGCCGCAGGTTGCCCAGCTCCTCCCTGGTCAGCGACAACTCGGCGGCTTTGCGCGCCGCGTTGATCTCCAGCCGCGCCAGCTCTCTCTTCGTCTCGGAGCGATTGCTGCTGACGTCCTCTTCGAGTACGCGCACCGAATCGTACAGTCGCATCACCGACTCGCCCAGCATCGAGTCCCGACTGGACAGTCTCTTGGTGAGCTCCTCCTGTGCCAGCTCGAGGCTCCTCGTCCGCTCGTCCAGATGCTCGCGATCCTCGTACACCACCCGCTTCTCCACCATCGCCCGCTTTCGCGCCACGAGAGAGATCTTCCGTTCGACGTTCCGCAGACGTTCCTCGAAGCGAGCGCGATGAGTCAGGGCGTATATGTAATTGCGTCTACGGCTTGAGTCGCCGCTCACTTCGTTGTGGAAGATGTTGGCCTGATCATGCTGCTGGCCGCACTTTAAGGATTTCAGCTCGATTTGCACTGTGCTCAGCTGTAACGTGAATGCGTTTTATATTTTTCTTCCTCCGTAGAGTGAGAGGCTTATTACCTCTCTCGATACTTGGATTTTAACGGACCGTTTAAATAGAGGATTGTATGATTTAATTTTGAAAAACAAGTTTTTCCGAAGAATTTCCCTTTATAATAGAGGAAAAACAATTGGGGCAAAATACATTGAACATTTAATTTCGTTAATGTTTTCTTTTTTGGTTCCCAAAATGAATCTCTGCCGATTCGTTTTACAGGCGTATTTCATAATGTGCATGCCTGCCGCGCAACATTTGCGGAATGCGTTAGAATACAGCCATAGCTGTCGAATGGTTAACATTTGTTAGACAACGGTAAAAATCGAATTTACAAAAGACTAAAGAGGTGCTGCTTTCATCGCATCGGAAAAACTCGAAATCAATAATTTTATANCTTTTTTTTTTTTTTTTTTTTTTAACGAACAAGTGATTGAGGGAGTTTGTTTGAAATCGATATTGTCGATTCTCCTCCCTTCGAGGGAAAGTTGAAAGTAAATCGCTAAGTAAATCCGTGCAAAAATTTCCATAAACAAATTCCTCACTTTCGATCAACTTTTACACATCGAGACCTCCTCTCGCTGCCCAAATATCTACGTATTTATCCCTTTTTCTTCTCATTTATTCCTCTATATATTGTTTCGAGCTTTACAGGATGAATATATACACATACCACGATTAAAAGTCAATGGCGAAAGGTGGGGAGTATTTAAGAGAAAGAAGAATCCGAAGGGCACATGCGTGCAGGAAAGACCCATTGCGCGGGCGGGGCAAGGAGAGGTTGAGAAGCAGCTGCCAAGCGGCAAAACGAAAAACAGGAATCAAGCAGCTGGCTGCCCCGCGCAGGTGCACGCATCCCCCTTTCTTCTTCTTCCTGCCGTAAATACTAAATGGTAGCGGCAGCCGTTATCTACATGGGCGCCCGTTGTCCGCGCATGCCAAACTCTTCGCCGGCACAAAATCAAGCCATTGTGAGTGAGGAAATCGGCACACGTGCATATAGGAATCACCACAGAATTGGTAATATCAATGTACATAGTGCGCGCACACCTTCTTACTATACATTCTTGTATAGGAAGGAAGATTATTCCCGTACACAACAACAAAGCGTTCTAACGCTCTTCTATAATAAAAAATACATTCGATAGCATTTTCTGACCTTTTCAAGTAAACTTCCTTCGGGTCGTCTTTACAGTTAATTAATAAATTAAGTAGCAGATAATCAAGTAGAGAAACAAGTCGATTTGTTTAAATAAAAGAAATTCTGAATCTCTCGCGCGGAAACTTGAAAATTAATCTGAAAACGTTCTTGTCGCTCCACTACCTTTTATCGTTCTCTAACAATAAGTTTACCTGGCTGCTAACGTCCGCGCAAGAGCGAGACAGGACGCTAGCGCGTTCCTTCGTCGCGGCGATATCGAGCTTGATGGTACTGAGCGTAGCTTCGATCTTGGTGATTCTGCCGCCGAGATCGCGTATGCTCCTGCCAACCTCGGCGACATCTCCCTTCAACAAGACCAGCTCGCTCCTCATCCTCGATCGCTCGGCCAGCTCCTCACTGGCGTTACGCGCCCTGAGCACTTCGGCGACTTCGCTCTGCAGTTCCATCACGGCGCTGCCGAGCCATCGTACTCGCAATCGCTCGTTCTTCGCCTCGTTGCCGCTTCCGCCGCGAAGAGCGTTCACTTCCTTCCTGCACGTGTCAGAGAAATTATAATATGCGTGTCTCTAGGGTGCCCTACTATTACTATACTATTTTGAGAAAAAGAACTGTCCAGAGGAAAAGGATGGAGAAGAAAGTATTACTTTTCATGATGGAAATCGCTTATAAAAAAGTTCTTTTCTTATCAATGATTTGTTGATTGCATTTTTTTCATATAGTCTTGTCGACACAAATCGATCCCTCTCTTCATTCTGCGTATACTATAATAAGAATCATCGAAAAAGTGAATACTTTTCGAGGAATTTTACATTTTTATTCTGATATTTTCCAACACAAAATATCTCACGAAGTATTCACTTTTCGACAACACCATTTTCATACTTTTGTACGTGGAACGACAGATGGACGCTATAAGCAAAATCTGAATAATAAAATTTTCATTGCAAATGACGCACGCAAAATTTATATATTTTTTCCCGATTTAATTATTATCTCTACGGCTTCTAATATCTTACTGCGATATCGCTTGAAGCAGCAAATCGAACTCACCTCAATTGTTTTACTTCGTTTCTGAGGACAAGGAGTTCAGTATTCTTCTCCATTGCCCGCTTCAAACTCTCCTCCAGAGCGTTGTAATCCTCCTGCCGATGGTCCAGTAACGCACTCACTTGCTCCTGCAGCAGCTTAATCGTGTTTTTCAGATCCTCGTCCGCGCATGTGCCGACAATCAGCGCGCTCATCACCGCCAACAACAACCATAGTACTTTCATCATCTTTGTTGCAATTTCGTACTGTCCTCGTATAAAATTCTTCGCAATTTTGAAATCTTCAGGTTTATATATATATATATATATATCTCGTAATTTAGAACTTTCCGAATTTTATATGTTAAAGCAATTCAGTTTTCTTATATTATTATAAATCTCTCTCTTTTAATTGCAAATTTTTCGGCTACTGAATCTTCGCATTTTTTAACACTCACGAAGACTTTCGTATGGATTTTCAATCGTCTGAATTTCTTTAACGAGATCGCTTCAACGCTATTATGACGAAATTATTACTCGGCACGGTCTGGCGATAGCACGAATTTAACGTAATTCACAGGAACAGCAGCGAGCTCGATCGAGCGCGTGCGTGATTGTCCTGTTCGAACGTCTCTCGAAAGTTTACTGGCTGTGGTGAAACGGTGTACGAGTTTTATATCGGCCCTTGTGGACAAAGGTCCCCGCTCGGTGTGGAGCAGGTGTTCGTTCGGCAACACCAGGCCTCCTCAGGTACATATTGTCTCGCGCGCCGCTATCCCCACGCTGCTTATATACTCAGTCTCTACCTTCGTTTCGTTGCACTCATGTCATGCCACAAGATCGTAATAGATATGTCGTATGGGATAATGTGATAAATATCGAGCGAGTACGTTCGATAATAAAAGAGCGGACGAAATTCCTCGTTTAAAAATCCGAGAGAGATCATTTTTTCTCTCCAATTAAATCCTTTAATTTCATTCATACTTATTTCACTATGAACTTTCGTAACTTTTCAATGTTTTAACGAAAGTAACACATCTCAATCATTATAAAAGACTGCAATAAAAGCTAGTAAAAAAATATATATTTAATAGAAAATTAAAAATTTGTCTTTAGTGAATATTTTTAAACGTATAAATTTGTATAACCAAGAAGAAATACGAGGTCTGTTCAAAAAGTATCGCGAATTTTGTGTTTTTTCAAAAATTATTTATTTATTCATGAATATCTATTTTGTCTCCTTCAAAGTAATCCCCGTCAGATATTATACACTTGTGCCAACGTTTTTTCCAATCCTCGAAGCACTTCAAAAAATCATTTTTTGTGATCTTGTTCAGCTCCTCCTTCGATGCCGTCTTTATCTCCTCAATCGTAGCGTAGCGTCGTCCTTTCATGTGCCTCTTCAGTTTCGGGAACAAGAAAAAGTCACAGGGGGCCAGGTCTGGGGAATACGGTGGCTGCGGCATCATTAGTGTGTTGTTTTGGGCCAAAAATTCGCGCACAAGCAACGATGTGTGAGCAGGGGCGTTATCATGGTGCAAAAGCCAATTTTTGTTCTTCCACAAATCCGGGCGTTTCTGGCGGATTGCTTCGCACAAATTGCGCATAACTTGCAGGTAATATTCCTTATTGACCGTTCTACCCTGTGGCAAGAACTCATGATACACCACGCCCCTGCAATCGAAGAAAACTGTAAGCAAAACCTTCACATTCGACCGAACTTGGCGCGCTTTTTTCGGTCTTGGCTCGTGCGGCAGCTTCCATTGGGATGATTGAGCTTTGGTTTCCACGTCATAACCATAAACCCATGATTCGTCACCAGTTATGACCCTCTGGAGCAAATTTGGGTCGTCGCGGACAGAGTCCAACAGCTCCCCAGCAATGTTAATGCGATGCTGTTTTTGGTCGAAATTGAGCAATTTTGGTACGAATTTCGCGGCGACCCATCTCATGCCCAAATCATTAGTAAAAATCGAATGGCACGAGCCAATCGATATGTTTAGGTCCTCAGCAACTTCTCTAACGGTGATTCGACGATTGGCCAATACTATTTTCTTCACTTCATCAATGTTTTCGTCTGTTGTTGACGTGCTCGGGCGTCCGGCACGCTCTTCGTCGTTCACATCTTCTCGGCCCTCTGAGAACATTTTGTACCACCGATAAACGTTGCTTCGGTCCAAGGTAGCTTCACCATATGCCACAGTCAACATTCGGAATGCGTCCGCGCACTTAATTTTGTTTTTCACACAAAATTTGATACAAATTCTTTGATCCATTTTTTGGAATAGGCAAAAATCGAAGACGAGCCAAAACACGTCCAAGCAAAACAGACGTCAAAGATAAACTGAATATTCAAAATGGCCGAACTGGTCGGCACAAGTGAGGGACATAAGTACCAACATAACGCCACAAAAAAATCGAAAATCGAATATACGTAACCCGCGGAAATTCAAAATTCGCGATACTTTTTGAACAGACCTCGTAACACGGATCATTGAGAGCTTAATCGCAACTGTTGTAGCGACATGCTATTTTTAATTTTGTCAGAGGACTTTGTCGCAATATGGCAAATGGAATCAAAATAATGCTACATTAATTAAATCAATAGTTGCATAGAGTTTATATAAAAGATATATCTCAGGATTCGTAAAATGTTGATTCATCTCTACGTTTGTCCGGAAGCTAATCTGGCTTATCACGCGTTAAATATTATTATTTTCTCGTAAAATTAAAAATAGCACATCACTACCGCGATCAGGCGCTCTTAAAAACCCGTTCTATCTCTCTTTAATTAGTAACCTAAATAAAAATTTTTAATATTTGTTAAATTCCTTCCAGAACAGAGGGCGAAGTAGCTTAGAACGTTTAAATATTCATTTTAAACGTAAATCTCACGTAAATTGCCAGAATATTTATTACGCGCGAGTCTCCTCGCGTAATTAAAGAAATCGATAGGAATTTCTCATCGAGAAAGATCAATCGTTGAAGCGTCGGGTAAAAATTAATTGAAAACAATGTTCAACTTGTTGGAATCTACCGTCTATATTTGTGAATATGATGGCGTGTTATTTTCTTCTATTAGAATGATGGTATAATCACGTGCGTGCGTGCATGTACGCGTGTCTGTTCCTTTGCACAGAGATGTTATAATAGTCCTAGATTAACATTTACAAGGTCCAGTAATAATGTAATTTTCCGATCACACAATCGACATATTCGTGCATTACAACTACTACTTTAGAGCATCCTTGTCACAGAATAATCAGCAATTATGATGTACGAACATGTCGATTGTGTGATCGAAAAATTAAAGTGTCACTAGTAGGCCTAGTGGCAAATGTTAAGGCTATTATGGTACGTACAAGATGTTGGATGGAAATACGCGTGCGCGCGAAAGTAACATCATCTTCGCGTCAGCTACAACGCTTATCTCCGTGTTTACGCGTTATCTCGAGATGCCTCTTCAAACAACGCTAACATTATTACGGATATTTCGTGAGTGATAATATAGCAGAGAATGGCACCGAACTTGTTACCTTTTTAAAGGTGAATAACCGAGCACGATAAGATTCAATTAGATATAGGGGGACCTTTTGCAATATGTCTTACTTACAGGAAACACCAAAAGTCCATTCAACACGCACCCGCGCTTACATATATACTTACATATAAATTGTGTTATCTCAACAAAAAGAATGTTGAATTCAATTCTACGTAACATCTTCAAACAATCACAATATGTTGACACATAACTATATGGAGAATTCAGAACTTTTAACACGGACCGATTTTAACCGAAGTAAAACATATATTTTTTTTTACTGTGTGTAAGATATTGAACTATATAATATATTGGAAGAAACACTGGAGTGCAGGATGGGGGCCGTAAGACAGGCCCCTGTAAAACAAAGGCCAAGTAGAATCTCGCTCTTATTAACATGCCTATATAAGTTCAGGTAAAACAAAGACTATTTAGATACTGTCTCTCTCGAAGTCTACTAGCAGAAACAAAGACAGTGCTCCTTCCATAGATTGTTATTTAGATGGACGTAGGAATGAACGCAAGATACGGACGCGCGGGGCCAAGCTCCAGAGGAAATATTTATTGCATCCATCTTTGTAAGTATATAATAATATAATTACTGTGGGTTAAATATTCCATAATCAGGAAAAATTGCATCGACTGAAGTGATGAATTTTTTCCAACGATATGCTAGATTGTTACGGCCGCTTACGATCGGTCATACTCGTCTTATACATTTTATATAAATCCCCTCGGGCTTTAATCCAGCGGGCTCCGTCCAGATAATCCTACGTCCATGGTTATATAGTTCAATGCTCTGAGATATACCTGGGTATAGCTGGGAATCTAGCGCTTGCGATATCCAACATACGACACTGCAAAAGCTCGCCAACAAGAATCGGATGAAAATGGTAGAAAAAAATAGGAAGCCAAGAATAGAGCGGGAAGTCAGGCTGCTGTCTGACGACTGGAAGAATGAATAATAGGTTCCATTTAACACTCGCAACGACGCGTTAATTCACTCATTCTTTGTTTTCCAATGGATGTTAAACAGAATGACGTCGTTGCGAGTGGAACTTGCCCATAGAAAGTAGTTGGATCAATCGAGAGACATCTTATTTTAATCCGATTCACTCTGCGATCTCTCTCCTCTTAACTACCCCTGTTACAATTATACACTACGTAAATAATTTATTGCTTACTCTTTCGCAATATCGGGTTTTCGTTTATTCATGTTTACTGTAAGTAGCATGTCTATGGGGCATTCAACTATGGTAAATTCAGTGACGTAATTACGTCCGTTGAAGATAGAAGTTCCAATTGTGTTAAATCAATGAATAACAAATTCCGCGGAATATGTATAGGAGGGGGAAATTTTAACGAGAAATAAAATTCCAAAAGTCTAATGTAGCCATCGATGGGTCCTTGACTGCATTTCGTATGCCTAAAGGCCCATCTATTTGGTGTTCCGATTAGTTTCGAGATTATTTTGCAAAAAAAAAAACACGTTCATTTTAGAAAGACGTTAAATTAGATTTTATTCGAAACGATCGCTAACTTTTTCCCGTTTTCCTGACAATAGGTGAATTCCGCGATGAAAAGAATGTTCGTCCTTCGAAGCAATCATTCATCCATTCATTGAGCTGAGCTTTTACTTAACAATACCTGCCGAACATTTTTCAGATTGACCTGATCGTTCTTTCAAATCAAAATCGAATCGTCGTACTCACATATCTTAACTTTGATGGAGCAGAATAAGTTTCCGANGTTTTTTTTTTTTTTTTTTTTTTTTTTTTTCAAAACAGTAATAAATTTATGGCGTTCCAATCGCACTAAAAACTGTGATTATGCTTACACATGACGTGTCAAATTATTTGTGTCCAAGCTTTGAAATGACGCGCCAACTTTCAAAATATCAGTAGCGGATCCGTAGCTGCAACCATCTATGGTGAGCCTTCAAAGCTAACCGAAACACCTAATACATAAGACGCACAATTTGACTGGAATAAGCAGTATGCTCGTTGGATATCACGCGTGTGCGTCTTGATGGACCTTAACATGCGCACGATATTTTTCCTAAAGAAGAATCATGTCGTTCGTGAACGGCCGTCCTCACCATTCAACGTACTGCTATCCGGTAACAAGTACTAAAGTATTTATCGCTTATTACGGAAGTAAATCCGCGGTTACACAGCCAAAGAGTCAAATTTAATTGTTCGTAATGTAATTGTACACGTACGTAAAGTCAGTGAGACTTTTTTTTTTTATGTCTGAGCAGATCCGTACGTGCCAGTTGGTGGTCGGTAAAGTCGAGGCAGCGTCAAAATCTGTAAACTGTTGAACGCGTACTTTCGCACACCAATGTTTTTCCACGTGTTCTCTCGCCGGCAACCCTCACTGCAGGAAACAACAGCGAAACAGAGTCAAAATATTAGGATCCGTATTTCTGCTGAGCGCGGATAACATACAAAGAACCTGGCCAATAGTCGATCAAAGTGTCACACTAGGCTACAATTTTCCTTGTATCTCTTTCGTTGTAACTGAGAAAAACCATATTCGCTCGTCGAACTATCTTGTGTGCCGATCGAGTCGTTGACAATTAAACGAATTTCTTTATTTTTCATGTTGACGCGAATTTCAACAATTAATAACCGTAGTAAATATGTATATGGAAATTTCACGCGGTATGCAACGCTATCTGCATGAAAGAAGCTGAATTTGACCTAATATTATACATGAAAACACTTCTTTTTCAACATTATGCAAGTTTGATATTGTGTGAAAACATGTGTCATAAACATTTAAAAGAGATTGTTAACGAACCATCTTAAACGTTTTATCGAACGTTCCCGCACTTACCTTCGCATACAGTCAAGAGCCCTGGTATACTCGTGTTCGGCCAGATGATACTCCGACGAGAGTATATTAACCTGCTCGAGGGTGATTGACATACCGGTCCGATCTTTTGCGCTCTTGCAACTGGTAAATCTCAGGCCGCGCATTCTTCGACATATCTGCGAGGACAACTGCAAAATCTCTACGTTCTTGTTCACCTTCTCCTGAACGCACATTTTCAAGTTGGACATCATGTCTGACAATGCGTGGCCCAAGATCGATCTTGCAGCAACTGCAACGGATGTGTCGTGATGAGAGACGAAATAATGCGTGAAAAATTTCCGGAGATTCCTCAGGGGAGAAGAGAACTCACAACGCGTGGACGCGGGTTCCGTCGGTAGATTCAATTTCTTGAATCTCAAGTAATACTCGTTCAGCCTGTCGAAATTGTCCATATTACTCTTCTCTTGCGGCTTCGTAGTACCGAGGCTTTCAGCCAAAGAAGCCATCTCGTTGATACCGACGTTGAAGAACACCGGCGTCACGTTGAACGACAAGGTCTGCCTGGACGAAGGTACCAACGGCAGCAGAGAATAGATGGCATCCGGAACTGGAAGTATCACCGTCAGAGCGCTCCGTGATCCTACTACACGCGGTAAAGGAAGCTGGAACGTCATATTGTGCTTTCCCTCGACTCTGCAAAACGACCTTCCCGTTATTCCCGGGAGAAGAGAGAAAAATCCAATTATTCGCTCACCTAGGTTGAATGCCGCACCGAGACAGAGTGAAGGTGACGGTGTGCGTGTCTTCGACTGCTACAGCCATATCCCCCCACATATCGATCTCGTCCCCGTAGTAGCTAAGAAGACCCTCGAAAGAGACCAGTGGTCCTAAAGTCGTGAGTATCAGCAGAAACATCGGATCGGGTCGCTGACACCACAGTTTCGCCATTATGCCGGTTACCAAGGCCGTCAACTGAAATGTTTCCTCGCGGTACTATTTTCATCTTCGATCCAACTTCGATCAACTCACCGCTTGACTGAAGCAAACGTCCCGTCTGTAACGGACATTGCATGCGCGCTGCGCCACCTTGGAGTCTTCCTGCACACGAAACACCGAGTGTGTTAATCTGGCAGTCTTAAGTAGCCCGTCCATGGCCTGCCGCAGCTTCTTCATGCTCGGCCTGAGCTCGCTCGTCCAATCCACAATGGACGCGAAGTCCAGACCTTCGGTGAACTTGTTCCTCTGTCCCGAATTACTTTTGATCACTCGCGTCATCGAGTCAACCGCTTGGCACACTTCATTGGAAGACGAGTTGTTACAACAAGTTCGTTTTAGCGATCCTCTCTTCTTACCTTCTTTCGCCTTGGAGAACGCCGGCTTCTCCGCTCCTGTGCGCGACGCGTCGTTCGTCTCCTCCAGCAATTTGTTCGACTCCTCGCACTTAATACCGTTCTTCGGCTGTATGGTGACGACCTCGGCGTTATGCCGACTGCTCGGACCCTTCAGACTTTGCGACCTGCTCAGACTCTTGTTGCGCAGCCGCACCGCTGGGCTGCTGCATCTGCCGCAGAGGAACTTCACCTTCGACACGAGACACATTACACTCGCCTCGATATTTAACTGAGTGAGATCCCACGGCTCTGGCTCATCCGTGGGCTTGTAGTAATTCGCCGACGGTGAGTTGCACATCTTCTGAGTATCGAGGAAACGTCTGCACGGATCGGCGTCGCCGCCGCTTCTCAAATCTTCCCTCTCGTCGTTCTCCCTCCTGTCGACGATCTCCTTCGGATCGTCCTCCACATCTGGGAATATCACGAAATCCTCCTCCGCGACGTCATTTCTCGTATACGCTAACGGAGCGTACTCTCCGTTCCTCATGCCGCCCTTCGACCAGATGTCCTGCACGCACTCGGGAGTGTCGGGCGTGACGAAGTCGTCAAAGTCGGGACTCTTCAGGTCAAAGTTCAGCTGCTGCGTGATCCGTTTGAACGGCGACAGGGATTGGTTCGTCTTGAAGTCCAATGTCAGAGTGTCGTCCGTGACAGAGTCCTCTTGGACTTTAGCGACTTTATACTCTTCCAGAAACGTTAATGCCTCCTCCACCAAGCCAGGGTCCCACAGGCTGAGTAAGATCCGAGTCTTCGTTATCATATCCTCGCATATCGGTAGCATGCCGCTGGTTTGCTTCTCCTTGGCGAGTTTCATCAGTGACCTCATCGCTTCCACGACGTCTCGGCGCAGCTGCTTGATTGCTTGAATCGCATCGTGCGCCATCGTTATCTTGGATGTTCCCTGATACAGCTGATTGCCCCGTATCGGCGACTCCTTCAGCGCCTGCACCAGTCTGCACATCGAGATATATATATTTTACTTTGGAAATCGACGATCGATCCTGTACGTGCTGACCTTATAAGTCCGCCGTTTTTGCTTTTATGAGAATGCGCGGTGAAGGCTCCTACGCTGATAAAGTCGTAAAATCCGCACTTGTTCAGCGTGTCATTGTGAACCCACATTCTCTGAAGGTGCAAATTAAGAGGTGCAAATTCGAGAGTACGGTCGTTCTTTCGCGACGACTGCTTGAAATAACTTCCTGAAATAAAGCCACCGGCTTTGCTATTTTTCCTTCGCGGAGCAAATTTTTACTAGAAATGAAATTTACCTTTGTAGGCAGCTAAGTTTTCTTTGGCTTGGGAATACAAATGTAACAAGTGAAGATGGCGGTCGAGCAATTCGACTTGCTTCGTGTGCCAAGGCTCCCTCAGTTCTCCCATTCCAGCTACCTCCTGTAGCAATTCCTTTTCTTCCTGTATCCAGATCCCACTGCAATTTGCATTTACTTGTCCTCATCTGCTCATGATATAAAACTTATGAATATTTTGCATTCTTACAGCAGGTGTTGAGGAAATTGAAAGCAAAGCTTGCTCTCCGCCATAATCTCGTGCACGCATATATCACCACCTAGCCCGGAATGGAATCTGTAAGAGAAGAAAAAAAGAAGCACGAAATTCTGGTTGATTCAAGGGACACGAGAGATTATCATCGGTGCGTAAACTTACCGGTAAGTCTGTACATACGGATTAGCAAAGAGCAATTTTAACTGGCCCTGATGCGGGAACTTTATTTTCGTTCCTAATCTCGGAGGCAATGACTGCGAGCGTCTGTGCGAAAGCAGCTGAAAAATATTACATAACGATCAAACGATAAGAATTCATTTGAAAGACCGCGATATTGAATTAACTTATTACATGTTGGTTGTTATTGCCATATACCGCGTTTCTCGATGGTGTACTCTCCGTACTATTTCCTTTGTCCTCGGCTTCCAAATTCCACACGTTAATCGTTAAGAATCCGACAGTCGTTGTTTTCGCTGACTTCAACGGTATCCTTAATCTAAGACCAAAAAATATGTTAATCATTTTATACAGAAATATTATATTGGATGGCTCGCATATATTTGTAAACTCATGCGTAAAATGAATGTCGACAAACGTTTGCATAGAGAAGGACTGTGAAATTTTTTGGGGTTAACTTAAAGGAAAGAGCATACAGCAGAAGTTAATCATGAATTTCTTATGAGAGTTTTCCCAGTAAAGAAGAAGCTGGTATTACCTTGGAGTGTCCTGCACCGTGCTGAACGTCACTATCGCGCTTCCTATCGGAGTTGCGGTTTGGCTAACTCTTTCCCTGACATCGTACGCGGTTATTCTAATTTTCGTTTCGGTCGTCAAGCCATCGCTCGCTCGGAAGCTCACCGTAGTTAAAAAACTGGGATTGCTACTCCGCTGAAATGATGGAAAAAACGTAAGACTTGGAAGAGAAGATCAATGGCATATCTCGCAGTTACCTCCACGACTTCCGTCCGCGCGTATTTAATCCAGGTTTTCGAAGATTTCGATTGTACATCTATCTCTAAAACGGGTGTGGGTGGCCGGCCGTGTCCGTCGCATAGTAAATTGTCGCAAGCTAACGATATCTCGCACATCGGTACCTCCGCCGGATCTGACGAAACGAATTCAGCATGAAATTTGAATGGCAAAGGAAAAGAAGGTAAGATCCGATTTTTAAATTCTGAACAACCTGTGAAGGTGCCACGCTGTAAGCGCAACATCTGAATATCCGTGTCGTACTTGTGGCCGCTGAACGCCTCGATGCGCTGTCGCAACGACAGCAACTGGCTCCGCATGCACTCATAGCTGGCCAACTGCAGCGCCTGCAACCAACTGTCCCTCTCCTCGGCCGTGTTGGCGCCTAACTGTTGAAACAAGCCTCCGTCGAAAACTGCAACATTTTTCCGTCTGTGCTTCTGACGTCGCGCTCTCACGCTACGTGAAACCGGCAATCGGTAGGCATGCAGATGCGGCTATAACGAAAACAATGACGACGACGACAAGAACGACGACGCGTCGCCGATGTATCGAGGAAGGGAAGAGAGAAAAAAAAAAAAACGGAGACATGCTACCTGATGATACTTGCCTATGCTGAATCCGTAAGGAACGTGATTGCTGGGTAGTTCGACGCGGACCGTGCACTGTTCCAGTATGATCACCCCTAGCGGCTCTGACCACTGCTCCCGCGATTTGAAATAAAACAAAAGGTTGCCGCGCAGCCTGCACCATCGTTCGAGACTTACTGCACAACAGAAGCAAAGAATGATGACGTTAGGTATGGACGTGCCATTCGCTGGCTGACGTTTCATCAAGTGATTCACGAAGCGAACGACAGAGAAGATAAATCGCTGCCTCATTCTGTTTAATTCTCTCTCGGATTCGGCGCAGCTAATTTTGTGAAGAAGATTCTTCTGGCAGCAAGCTTTAACTCGGGGAAAAAAGAGAATTCTTTCTTCAATCTTGCGCGGAGTATTTCAATAACGACGTGACGTTCCTTCGTGTACGCCCTTTTGAGAGTGAAAATATTTCCTCGCAATGCGATGCGTTCAATTATTAAGTCTTCGTGTAGACTTTGATCTCTTTCCTTCTCTCTCGCCCTTTCCGTTCAAATCGATCAACGTGATGCTAAAGTATGAGAATGTTTGCGTTATATGAGAGCTCGAAATCAAATTTCTTTTCCCGCAAGAAATATCCCCAGCCGTAAATGTCTATAATTTTACGGGTATTAAGAACTTTTCTTTTATATATATCTCTCGATTGTGAACCTGTTTACAGCAACGCATATGTCGTAACGCACAAATACCCGCAGATTAAAGTACTAGAATATTTTTTATCGTCTTTATTGAAAATTCCTATCCAAGAACTATGGAACATGCGAAGCATTCCGTTTCACATGCAATCAACCTCCGATTCGCCAAAAGCGTTTCTTTACGACGTCGCTTGTCAAATTTTACGTCCGGTTAATTCTTTCAACAGAGAATCGAATAATCGTATGAGCTATGTTATACAGTGTTCAGTATGACGATCCGCACGATTTTTGAGATACTCCCGACAGTTTAAAAAAAAATTGTAAATATTCATCTGTTTCATGCAAGCTACAATTTGCAATGAAAATTTTATAAAGTGCCCTACAATATTATGAGAAAAAAATTGTATGATGCCGTCCAAAAAATTCAAAGTGACCGATTTTTTATTTAAAAAAAATTTTTTTTCATTTTTTTTTTAATTGTAAGTTGTAACTTGCATGAAACAGATGAATATCTACTTTTTTGTGAACTGTTGAAACGTTTTAAAAATCGTGCGGATCGTTACTCCCTGTATAAATCTTCGAATGTTAATTCATGAAAACCTTAATAGGAGGATGGTTTGAAGAACAACTTGATTCGGATACTTATAGTGGGCAACAACTGTATATATTGGTCACATAGTTCCCGTTCTTGTAATAAACCAGTTTCAAGTAATTCTACCATTAATTCTTTGCTTGACAGTTGTTTCAATACAAATGATTCGAACGACAGTGCAAAATGAATAAAATTAGAATTCGAGGTGATTCATTTTTTTTGTTTGAAGAGAAAACAACGAAGGAAATCAAAAAAATTTTTCTCACACAATTTAGGGAAAAATAAAGTAAAAATAAAACTAAGTTGTCCTTAATATCAAACTAAGTTACTCTTCAAACCACCCTCGTACAAGTGTGTACAATAACTTAAAAGTAGCATATCGATACCGAATATGTATATTTTTATTTTACTTTGGTAAACCGAAGGTCGAGATTTTAACACAAATACTTGACATGCATCTCTCACCGCCACATTACTATCGGAGAAAAAGAAAACCAACGAAAATGAGCAATCCGTATAAACAAAAGATTAGATAAGAGATAGAGATAGTACGTTTTAGCTAGCTCGAGAGCTTTAATATTCATATTTCATTTGTGTTCAGCAATTTCCAATCTTTTATATCGTCCAATTTTCAATACATGACCGCGACCAACTGCGAGAGCAATCCCATTAAAGCATGCGTTGCATCATTCTTGCGTCTTTTGTAAATATAAAAGAGAACATCCACATATGTTAATTAAGATCAATCAGGCCACTCAGTAGTATATATTAATTACGTGAAAATTGTGATGGGAGTGTGAGGGAAATTTCAATAATTTCAATAAAAAAAAATGTGTGTGTGTGTGTGTAAATACAGAAAAATGCACTCGAATAATGTACCTTTGCTCGCGCCGGCTGTAACACAATTGAGATCTCGTAGGCTCTTATGTGACTTTCCTCTTTGATTTTTGTTCTCGGGTTTTTTACCTGTACCTGGAAATTGCACGAGGCTAACTGACAGCTGCCACAACGACGTCCCAAGTATATACAAATAAAAAGAAAAGACGAATGGCCTAATTTATATTTTCTTGCGCGATGACGTCAGAACAGATCGATTTACGCTGATCCCGTATAAAGTAGAAATGAAAATTTGCCGATCCTTTCTTATCGATGGACTCCTTAATATGCTGTCAATATAAATAATCGCCCCTTATCGTGTCGATTGCTGATAATTATCAAATGAAATGATAAAACATATTGTTTGTACTATAATTTTCGCACGTTTTATTCGTTGTGTTATCATTCAAACGTTTTTATTTAACACTCGGATATTTCAATAATATTTAGATTTCGAATAGTATTGCATAACAATTAGATGGACACGGCCTAATTTCCAATGCTCTTCTTTCAAATCGTTCACTGGCACTGCCATATTATATAACGAAACAAACGTTCTATTTCGTGCAAAGCCATACTGCAATAAAACAGGATAAAATATCGATGTCTCCGCCATTATCGCGGGATATCGTACGACTCATGGCATGACTTACAGTAAACTCTATTTCGTGCAACGCATTCTGTCATACTTATATTCATACATGTCATATTGCTAATTGGTCTTTTTAGTTGGACCAGCTGCAGCAGCTAATTAAAGAAATTTACGCACATTGAGGCGTGAGAACGTACGCTTCATACGCTTCAATATGTACATAAATTTCTTAAACTAGTACAGCCGGTTCAGCTAGAAAAAGGGCAAATGATGTGTTAATGTTAAACAACAAGCTTTAGTCAATGAAATAAAGAAAGATTCTGAATAATATCAATGTAAACGATATTTCTCTTTCCTTATTGAGAAAATAAAGCTCTGATCAAAAATATAGCTTTCTCTGACTCATAACATGTAGCAATTCGAATAAGACAATGGGCTCTACATTAAACACCGAATGAGGAATTTGTACATTAAGTTTATTGTCAAGCCTCGAACATGTACAATATAAACAAGGGATAGTCATGCATCGACTTGTAAGATATGCTAAGTTTGTTTTCATTTTAATATATCATGTATTGAATATATATATATTGTGAAGACTCACTTTCTGTTCTGCGAAAGAAACCTTCCTGTCGCTCTCTCACATACAGAATACCTTCTTTTTCAAATTTCTGGGAAGGTTGGGTAGCTAGTGTTAATAATTCTTGCTTGTTGAATCTCATCTTGTATAGGTGACTAAGCAAACATATTTACAGCTTCCCTAGTTTATTTGTTTATATACTGGAAGTAAAATACAAAACTTATTAGAAGACATAGCAATATCATAGTCGTATATCATAATCTAAACTTATGTAAGACAAAATATCTCATGTACCTAACTCTGGACATTCTTGTTTTGGTTTTTAAATACAAATATTCAAACTTTCAGCATAGAATATATGCATTAATTATATAGAAATATTTTGTGTTTAAAGATTAAACATTCGTACTTAAAAACAACAAAAATATTCATAATTAAATACAAGTCCAGTCATTTTTACCTTAATCCATAAAATTTGTAAATGAGAGTGAATCAATTTCCACACTAAAGCAGTTGATACTTTTATATTAAATAGTTATGCCATAGAATTTTTTCTTTCAAGCCGTCGCAGGGTAACTTGAAAGACTTATTGAAAGATTTATGATGGATAATTAGTTTGTAAAATAAATTAATTCGAGGATAGTCATGTGTTGCATGCAAATCTTGTAAGAGAGAGGAAGATTATACAGACACACCATTTTTACAAACTGGTTACCATCCACATTCCCCCACATTGACCGTCACTGACAGCGCGACACACTGGAAAATCAAGGCACGTTAAAGACGGTGATGGCATGAAAAATGCATTTGTACTTACGCGACGCCTGTCAACACTATATTTAGCACCGACGAAAATCCATAATTCGCTCGCGATTTTCGCAGGAACTCGTGCAGCGACACGGCGAAAACTCTTGTCAAAAATCAGAAGAGTTTCCCATTGTTGTTCTCAGAAGATCGCTGGTCCTTGCGACATCAGCGGAGCGGATCAATTTTAAACCGACGTGGCACATACGCGACATGGAAAATCGGTCAGCCTAGATCGAGAATACGCTGCCTCGTGAGAATGCTTAACGCGTTATGGACGATACGTTACGACATGAAAGGCAAACATAGCAATGCGGTGATTTGCCAGAAAAAAATGGATATCTCCGGTAACGAATGATAAACGACTGACGAACGATCGTGCGCGATTGGGTGGCTTCGTCCCGTTGCTTTCGACGCGCTGTCATCTACCGGCTGATTATAAAGATTGAAATCCATTCGGCCGTTTCGCACGGTCAGCAACATAAAAGCAACACTTCTTTTCAATAAATTTTCCAATGCATCTCAGATTGCACTTCGATATTCGCCATCGGTACTGGCAATCTATAATATAGCTAACGGAAAACTATAGATTTTTAGTACTCGCAGTGAATTTCGAAACGCATCTCCTAAGAATAAAGCCCGTGTCATACGATTCTTGTTTCCTCGGGTTGCGTTCGGGAATCTCACTCGTGGTGTGATTTCAGTCGGAATTTCGCCGCTAGTTTAAAACGAGGTGATAGCCACAATATGTTTATAATAGTCCTAGATAAATAGAGAAGCGACCGATAGCTGCGATATATCTCGAAAGCCGTCGTCTCGTTTCTCCGCATGACTGTCTGTTCTTTTTAGTTGCAACCGGTGTAATAAGTTCGAGCGAGACACAAAATATACTAGTTTCACTCTAAAGCCAGCGGTACATACGATGCTTGTTTTCGTGATGGACTGAATGGAAATACCGCGTTCTGATTGGTGTATTTCCATCCATCCATTTTCGGAAATGCGTCAATCAGAACGTTTCCATCCAGCAAACAATCCAGCATGAAAACAAGCACTGGTGCTGCTGGCTTTGTTCAAAAGAATCAAATAACTGCGATACAAGGATAAAAAGGAAGTTACTGAAAGAAGTCAAACGATAAGAGAAAAATGGAAAACGAAGATATAGAAGAATTACGCGAATTGAAAGAACGACTCGTACAACAAGCGATTCAGTTACGAGATAAGCTGAAGAACCAGGAAAGCAACGGACGTCAATCATTGATTAATCTCGATATGTAATTTGTTACACACTTTCGATGATGAATTTCTCAACTTTGAATTTTACTTATTCATTTAAATCATTATAGTACTTCATTTTCTGACGATGAAAAATACAAGCCTTCAGAATCACGGCTCAATATGTATGAAGCCAAGTTATGCGAGATTTCGAGCCAGATGACTGGTATATTGTTTAAAGATGTCAATAAGAAATGGCTACACGATGATACTTATCTCTATACAGCTAAAGTGGAAACAAAAGCAGTTTCTTTCAACCTTGAATTGACAGTAAATGTTAAGGTAAATAAGTATATGATTACAACATTTTCTGATTGACTTTATTATTTCTCCCTTCCCATTCTCTCCCCCTGCCAGGATTCAGATGATTTCAAAATCGAGAATTTGATGTGTTACTTTATAAATATTGAAGATTGTTACATGCTAGAAATCTCTCCCTGGTTTGAAAAGATCACAAGGACCAAGAAATTTTCGCTGCTTATGTCTGGTAAACAATCACAATTGGATTATTGTCGCAATAAGCATATTATGTAAATGGTATATTTCTTTCCAGCATTATCCGATTACAATGATTATAGTATCTTTAGATCTAAGATTCTACATAGTTTAGAATCACAGAAATATGCGAGAGTTGAGCAATATACTAAAGAATCTGGTGGCGTACTGATATATATATGTCCTCCTGTGGATCCAAAGAAATCATATCTAATATTTCATTGGTCAATGAAATTTTTGGATCTCACATGGCACATAGAACATTTTTTTATAGTGAAGTCAACAGATATAGGTAATAAAAGATATTAACTAAATAAAGAAGAAAAATTATGACAAAATATGTTTTTTAACTTTATCAGGAATTGAATTTTCTGAAGAAAATCGTCTTTTGTTGAAAAAATTTTGCAAGATTGGATTAACAAAGAATGATCTTGTGAATCTGTGGGATGACTTGTGTACTTCTATTGAAACTTATCATGCAAGAAGCACAGAATATACCTGATGGGACCAATTCTTTTTAATCAAAATCCAATCTGAAGGAAGACAAGAATTAATTATTTCTAAATACATTGTTATTCTT